CGTTTGAATTAAAATTTTATTAATTATGGGACCCCAAGCAGATGGTAGCACCCTGACATGTTCTCTATTGAAATTAGGATTTTTTTTAATTTCAATAGCCTTGCAAATCATCCTTGGTAGAAGTAGCAGTTCTTTGGCGAGGGTTTATGTTTTATGAGATCTGATATGCTTATATATATAACGTAAAAATAATATCTAAATCTAAAATCTAATCTAAAAAAAAATATTTTATGATGCCAATCAATATTAAATGGGACCAATGATATTGTTACGAGCTTGAGGTTCGTGACAATAAAAATTGCCGATAGAATTACCTAAATTAACACTTTAATTTTCTTTACACCAATTAAAACTTAAAACACTAACAATTTATCACACTGATTCACTTTATTTCGCTCCGAAGCTTCGCTTGCCTCGCCAAATTCAATACTTCCCCGATCGCATCTTGCAGCGTCTATACAAATTATCACTGAAACATCCAGAATATTCAAGTAAATACGCGCAAGGCGCCCAGAGTTCGAGTGTCGACTTCTAGAAGCTTAGTTCTTCGTTTCGAGACTAGATGGCGCTGTCGGTTGAAAGATTAATGATGTCATTTTCTGGAAAGCTCCCCTAGCTCTCGTCCCTGACACTAGATGGCGCTAGTGCCGGGTACATGACGTCGACTTAGGCGCGTAACACTGCCCCCTCCTAAGACATGCTCATCCCGAGCATTATCGGATCCATAAAACGCGCCAGGCAATCCACATGGACAATCTTATGAGTCCCTCTTGCGCCTTCCTGTAACGGCTCCGCAATGTCAAGGGCTGTCCTGTCCCATGGTGCACCAATATTGTACAATTTCGATGCTCCTCTACTACGTGTGCGAGGTCCCCTCACAGCCGCACAACTTGTACATGTGCGACACCAATCCTCGACATCGGCCCGATAATGGACCCAGTAAAACTGTTCTCGGATCTTCAATAGAGTTCGTTTAACTCCCAGATGAACTCCTGAACAACCATTATGGTGCAGCTGTAAAACATTCGGCACTTTAGCTTTAGGGACAACCATTTGCAAACGACAGCGGTCTCCTCGACCATTGTCCCATTTACGGCACAGGACTCCATCCTGAATCAGCAAGCTGTCCCATTGGGCCCAATAGATTCTAGTGGTCGAACTCATCGCTGAGACGTCGCTCCACTTGGTTTGGCTTGGTAGCACGGGCCTTCATCCATTCCAGAATCGGCTTGATATCCGGATCTTCCTGCTGTGCATGTCGTAGGCTGTCCTTCCACTCGTTGCTGAGGTGGTCTGTCCTGAGCATCCTCACGGATACCACTTCCTTACTCTCTTACCTAGTACAACGTTTGCAATCTTCAGGACAAGGTCTTCTTGACAATGCATCTGCGTTGCCATGAGATTTCCCGCTGCGATGTTCGATCTCAAAGTCGTATTCCTTCTGCTGCTGGGCGGTGATGTTAGCCGCACTTCCCTTCTGAGATCGTTCACCTTCCCTTTCTAGGGTTCGCTTAGGGCAGCTGGATCGAAGATGGCCCCTTTCCCCACAGCCATAGCACCTAGGGCTGTATCCTTTATTGTGGTCGCGAACCGTAACTGCTGCAACCTCCCTGACGCGATGGGAACGATGATCCTGCCGCACGGCTTCCAACTCCAGTGCATGGGCCAAGGCGTCCTTAAGCGTCTCGTGGTGCCTCACAGCAGCTCTGACTTCCAGGTCGCGGATGCCGTCGATGAACGTCTGCACCAGGTTCCCTTCAATGAGCTCAGGTGCAGACTGGTACGCTTTTCGCACCAGCTTCTCCACCTCTAGAGCCCACTGCTGCAGGTTTTCGTTGATGCGCTGCACGCGATCTTTAAGCTGCGCACGAAATACGTGTTCCAGGTGAGCGTCGCCATATCTCGCCTCCAATGCCTCAAGGAGTTGCTCATAAGTCACTTCCTCACCGAGAGCTTCCAGAACTGTTAAGGCCTGGTCGCGCAGGCCTAAGGTGAGTGCAGTCATGGCCTGGCTTTTATTCCAGTCGTTTGCCTCCATGACGGCCTCAGCTGAATTTTGTAAGCCGACCAGGAAGAAGTCCCATCGAACGGCGGCACTTTGAATCTACGTAGCGAAGGTGCTATAGCTACTACGGGAGCTGTAGTTTCATCCCCAAGTTTGAGGTCGTTCAGCGTTTTCTTCACGTCAGCCATCACGTTGTCAACCCGATTGTTAACATGGTTGATTCGGGTTTCATGTTCTTCGATTCGGGTTTCAGCTTCCGACAGGCGGTTGTCATGTTGAGCAACCCTATCCTTCACCTCCCTTATCTCTTTCCCAAAGGTAGCGTGAAGGTCCTTCATGAGGAGCATCTGCTCTTCCGACAGACGAGCCTGTTCCTCCTGTGCGCCCCGCAACTGCTCTTCCAAACGACGGACCTGTTCCTCTTGTCCGCTCTGCAGCTGCTCTTTCAACTGACGGACCTGTTCCTCCTGTCGGCGAGCCTGCTTCTGCAGCATCACCATCAGAACACCTAAGTCGGGTGCTGCAGATGTAGGAGCTACTGACGGGCCTGCAGCCGGCGACTGGCCCTCCGACGTCTGCGACGTTGCACCACCAAATCTTCTTTGGTCCGTCTCGTGCTGGCGTTGACTTCGGGTACGGACACCCTCCGTTTCCTCCTTAGGTAAAATCGGCATGATTTTATCCCACTTCTGACACCAAATGTTACGAGCTTGAGGTTCGTGACAATAAAAATTGCCGATAGAATTACCTAAATTAACACTTTAATTTTCTTTACACCAATTAAAACTTAAAACACTAACAATTTATCACACTGATTCACTTTATTTCGCTCCGAAGCTTCGCTTGCCTCGCCAAATTCAATACTTCCCCGATCGCATCTTGCAGCGCCTATAAATACAAATTAGCACCGAAACATCCAGAATATTCAAGTAAATACGCGCAAGGCGCCGAGAGTTCGAGTGTCGACTTCTAGAAGCTTAGTTCTTCGTTTCGAGACTAGATGGCGCTGTCGGTTGAAAGATTAGTGATGTCATTTTCTGGAAAGCTCCCCTCGCTCTCGTCCCTGACACTAGATGGCGCTAGTGCCAGTTACATGACGTCGACTTAGGCGCGTAACAATATGAATCAAATATAACAAATAAACATCATGCCTTAATGTTCGACAATGAAATTCATCATTGTTTTGCAACTGATATAACTATAATGATAAAATAATGTAAAATGTAAAACAACATACATTTTACACTTTACATTCTTTGATCATTTCGAAATTTTGATTCCAAAACAATCGACCTTTCTTAATATATATACGTTGGAAGACACCTGATATAAAAAATAATAGGTGTATACAGACATAAGAGATTACTGCAAACATGAAAAACTTACTTATTCACGTGTTCCTGTAACATATTACATTTATGCCAAATATCAATCATCTACGTCCAAAGGTTCTTGAGAATTCAAAAAAAATCTTTAACAAACAGACATAGAGACACAGACGTTACTCTGATAGTGATCGAATTTTGTTAAATATGGCACGAAACAACATTTATTAATGTTGCTAAATTAAAGCCCACGCGAGCGAGGCCGCGGGTAAAAAGCTAGTATTAAATCAATCAAAAAATCAATTCTCAAAATTTTTATTACATGAATAGAAACAGCTTATTTGATAAGATTTTTTTATTTAAAAACATTCTCATAACTTGCGATTACGAGCGCCATCTAGAGGCTGACGACTTCAGTTCTAATAACTCCAATTTGATCACAGAAATCGTAATAATAAGACAATAGAAGTCGCCTAGACGCGTGACCTTGTTGCCGCTATGATGTGTTGACGAACATCATTCACCATTTTGTGATTTATTTGCGCGGGGAACGTCGTACGTGTAATTCAACTAATAAAGACATAACATTTCATGGGTAAGTTGATTATTTACTAATTATCATTGTTTTAACTAATTTACATCTAGATGAATACTTTACTATGATATTTACCTTTGTAAACTTTCATTTATTACTTTTCGTATGGACAATTAACATTGCTGCTTTTGTTCTACCATAATACGCGACGAACGCGACGTTGACAAACTCGTCAAGCAATGTAATGTGAAACATTAGATATTATTGTGCATTGCGTATGTTTATAATACTACAGATATCGGTCGCTCAGTGCGTATGTGCTAAGATGTGGCGACATCGGTTTTGAAAGTAATCGAGCGCTAATTCATTTCTATTGTCTTATTATTACTATTTATGTGAATTTGACTGATTCAGAACTCAAATAGTGAGGGAGTAGGCCGGCAGATCCGTGCTTTGAGGTAATTTGAGAGGGAGACTTGTTCATCAATGGGTTTGTGATTGTCTTTGATGATGATGAGGATAATGACGACAATCCTCTATATTTTGATTGTTTGTATTATCAGGTATACTAAGATGGCGAAATTCAATATTGTGAGTTCGAACCTGTCACTAAAAATTAATAGGTTACTTATTAATGTCTTTAATAAAAGTTTAAATAATTTTGTATTCATTTTTGTTTTTATTTTGTGTTCATTTTATTATTATCGAGCATAATATTATGAGTTGTTAACAGTCATGTCTTTCTCTAAAAGAATAATAACATACCCAAATTGTAGTGAAACTTACATAACAGTATTCTTACTATTAAAAGTTCAACTAGTATTTAGTTGCTATTTTTAAAACAAACAACCCATCCGTCAATGATACAAAAACATTAGAAAGACTATCTAAAGTTTTTGTATTATTGACGAACGGATAATCGTCTTTATATTCCATATTCAGTAACGAGAAGTTTAATGAATTTGTCAACTTCGTTTCATATATTTTTGAAGAATAAATTCTTAGAAACTTTTACAATGACAAGTGAACTAAATACATTATACGAGTTTACACTGCGTAAAATAAATTAAAAATATTAACTTATTTAACAATAAATAAAGTTGTACAACCAATATGATTAGATACTTAGGTACATCTACGATTTAGAAAGAATCTCTTTCATTGCCAACTCAATTTTGAGTTGGACACAGGCAACTCTCTCCTGGAATATCTGATTAATTAAGCTCAGTCTCTTTTGTTCTAACATAGCGTTCTCTTTTATTAGCCTCTGCCTAAACTCTTGTTCTTCTGGAGTGTAAATATCTTTAGTTTCTTTGTTTGTCTGTGTGTTACCTTCTTGTTTGTTCTTTAATGCAACGTGACTTCTCAGTTTCACAATTTCAAACTGTTCCGAATTGATCTTTGCTTGCAATATAGATTTCAATTGCAAATACTCTGCGTTCTCCAGTTCAAGTCTTAGTACTTTGAGTTCTTTTTCAGTAAGTTTTGGTTTTTCTTTCGGTTGTTCCAATGGTTGGTCAAAGTTTGGCGTATCTTGTTCTGGTGTTCCTTTGATGTTTGTCGGTTGAAAACTGAAATCATCTTCAAACTCTACTGGGAATGTTGGATCAGGTACATTTGGAGATTCCTTTGTATCGTGGAAAGCGTCTGTTACCGGGGTTTTAACTGGTTCTGCGTCCACTTTGGGTTGTGTGCTTACTGTGTCGATTGTTTCGTGAGCTCGCGAGTCTTTTCTTGTAGGTTCGTCTTCAGGCACTTTTTCTTCTACTGAAGGTTGTTGGGGCAAGCTGTTCGGTTCCACAGATTTTTGAACGGAGCGTAACTTTCTCTGTAATTATTATTTAATATTATAATAGATATTACACACTGGTTATGTTACTATAATAATATTATCAATTAAAAGCGAAGTTTCTGTTCTTCCCCTTTGAACGTGAAAAATGAAAATGAAAAAATGTTTATTTACAGCTAAGGTGGTAAACATCATAATATACAATATAAGATACTGAAATGGATGTACAGTAGTCTTAAAGGAGTGTATAAACAATGGTGTATAGTTCTGTGTACACATGGCTTTCATAAATTGACACTGGGTCGTCGTACGATTAATTATTAGATTATGTAAGCTATTTTTTAATTAAACACGAAAAAAATTATATAAAGTTAATATTTATAACAATACAATGACAGGTAAAAAATAGTTATTTGTTCATAAATACTAAAATATAATATAATAAAACATATATAAAATAGAAACTCCTATAGATGCATTTTAATATTACATATTGTATATTCAGACATTTTATGTAAGTAAATTTAAGATTTCGGTTTCATTAGGTTTTCTGTACTATCATAGCTCAGAGTAAGTAACCATTTTGTTACGGCTCTTTTAGCTTCCACCACTGATTTTTCTTTTATATTACAATACTTAAGGACGGACTTTTATATTATATACTTGAGTTCTCACGAATTGCCCAAAACGTTTAGAAAAAGCAGAGTTGATAGTTAAGTTGCAACAACGCCTTAAGCGAAGAGTTTAATTTTTTTTTCGTACACTTGGCGATTAAACTCAGTAAGCAAAATAATTTTGACTTAGAAATCTGTTCTCTCGTCTGATCTATTACAAACTATGCTACGCATAATTATAGTATATTTTTGAATCACTCACCTGATTATGGACATTCCTATAATAATAATCTATATATATATATATATATATATATATATATATATATATATACATATCAATAAAATCAAAGTCCTGCATATATCGAAATAAAGCCTATATTGAGCACGACAGGAGGTTATATGCATTATGACATGATTTGGTTTTAATTTTCCCGTGTCAGTCGGTCCGGGCTGATCTTCAGAACAGCTGATCCTATTGTAATGAAACTTCATGAACAGATAGAGAGCAATGCCAGGAGTAATCTGGGCTATATTATATCCGAAAATACTCGTAGTATTTGTTTTGAAACACCGAAATGTTGATAAAATGGTCCTTATAGTATCATCGAAATAATGCCACAGTGTAGTAGATACTACCAAGGCTGCCCCATTGGTCTAGTGATTGTAGTAGTGCGTAGTCGGGCCAAAAAAATCAGTTATTGAGTTTTTCCATTAAGAAATTCTCAGTAGCTGCCCGGAGTCAGGAAGTTGGCGGTGTCTCACCCCCGTGCCTCGGAAAGCACGTAAAGCCGGTGGTCCTGCGCCTGATCTCTCTCGGGTCTTGTCGGTTTACCGTCCCATCGGATTATGAGGGTGAGGGAATACTGAGTGCACCTGTGCTTGCGCATACACTTGGGCACTATAATCCTGTCCTGCGCCGACGGCTAGTCTCCGTTGAGACTGGCCGCCGTGACCGAATTTCGGTCTGGAGGACATTACTATCAAGGCGAATCTGGAGCAAGTCGCTAGTTATAATATACTACGATTATTATCAATACCGCTCAATACTGGATAAGATAGGTAGATATGTGGTGAAGAAGTTGTGATGATAAAGAATATTATTATGATGACTACCTTCAGCTGCGTGACGATTCTCTGCGCCTCCCACAGCTGCTGATCTCTCGCGGGCGTGATGAAGCCGGCGTGCATTTCGGCGTGTATCTGGTTGAGCAGTGACTCTTGCTTCCGCAGCTCTGCACTGATCTCTGCCGCGGACTCCGGGAAGTCCGCGGGGATCGACAGCAACGGAGGTACGTATCTGCATGCAGCGTATGCATATTAATTAAAATTTCATAGAATTTATTAGGTATGTCCGTTATTTCTATACATTACGTACATTTGTTACGCAAATATGTAGTTTTATAATATAACGTTTATGTATAGCTCCATATTATACTTATTTTAAATTCCTGACATTTCGAGTACGGTGTCACAAATTTATTTAATTCAAAAAAACTCTTGTGGCTTACAGAAAATCCAACACGCAGGTTAAATTTTACAAGCAAAATTTAAAAAAAAATTGCATCCAATTATAACAACAAAAATTAATAGTTATTACTTATAAATTAATAATTAAAATTAATAATCATAACAAGTATACAATATTAGTGATATAAAATCTCTAAGCCTTTAGCAGCCCGAGTTGAGAAATTAAAATAGTAATAAAGAATAAAATATTAATAATTGTACAATGTTTAAAAAAGAAAAAGGTCAAAATCATACAAAGTCAGGGTATGAAATATCTTGTCATATCAATTCATAATGCAATGTCAATACAAGCTAATTAGAATATATGCCCATAATTAAAATTACATCTTAAATACAAAGTAATAAATAGTACATAGTCAAGCAAATTAAATTATCGAATTATTGGGTGCGTTTGGCAGAAAAAAGCGCTAGCAAGCGCTTGTAAGCAAAATGGCGATCGTAAGCGGTAAGCGCTGTCAAATCGTAAGTAGCTATTTTCCTCTAGGACACGAAGTCAGTTTTAACCGGGGAACCTAACCTAATTTAAATATATGTTTGTAAAGTATTCATATTAAAAACTTACCAATCATGAATTTTTAATAACATCTATATGTCTATTCATGTCATTATATTACTTAAAACTAATATTGCACAAAAAAACTTATAAACTCTACTTCAAAACAAACAAATTAAATAAGCAAAATGGCGGATTGTGTCAGCGCTACTGAAGTAGCAATCGTGTCCTGGCCAAAAACTATTTCAGCGCTTGTAAGCGCTTGCTAACGCTTTTTTCTGCCAAACGCACCCATTAATTGTCTTATTATCGATAATTTCATAAAAAAAGAGTCAGCAGACGTGTCATACTGTCTGCAAATATATCAATTTCATCGTGTTGAGTATGTCCCCGTTTATCATCAATAGTCAATAGTCCCCTATTAGTATCAATGCTCGATTTGTTGGTGCATAGGCAGCACGTTTGGTACGCGTAACTGGTCTGTCTAGGAGACGCGGCCTACGGCGCGGAGCCACCGTTCCTCCATTCTCAGTACCAGGCCCACGGAATTATAAAAAGATAATACCTAATAGTTGAAATTACCCCCAAACATAGGGTTTCTAATCATGATGATGATAAATGGCACAAGGGACCGAGGTGTTTTGACTTCTGCGTACTTTCAGTTTTTAATACATCATGTACACTATTTAAACTTGCCAAGTTTTAAACTCAACATCAAAGAACGTAACATATTTTTTTGATTTCAGGAATTGTGATTGGCAAGGCCTATAACTCCGAATGCCGTTTAAATCAATTTCGGCTCGTTTTCCACATTTATGTTTTTAGTGAAATGTTGTTTTATGTGGAATATTTTGATATATCCGAAATATATCCGAAATAGTAAAACAGAACGAGCAATCGGAAGACAGATTTTTTGATTTATCTATATATACCAACTAATTAGTATTATTTATGACGTAGCAAAATTGTTTTTTTGTGCTAGCAACTTCGCCAATCTAATAACACCAGTATCAGTTAAGTTTACGTTACGTACAAGTTAGTACCAGTTTTACGTGGTAGAGCCACGCTGCAGCTATATTAGTTGTAGCACGAATGGGTTTTTCATTCCATCGTAGTCCTCAGGCGTGACGACGCATCTGCATTTTGATTCCTAATCGAGGTTAAATGTAGATGTCTATGAGTCACAACTTCCACTTACCATCAGATGGACTGTGTGGGTGCTCGTTTGTCACTCGTATTCTATAAAAAAATTACAGCGAGAAGTAAGATCTATACCTTCCTATATTTTCAATGAATTGTAGGAGTTGCTCAGCTGTGAGCAATTTCACTTCTGGGCTAAGTACAGTTAGATCGTGATGAGGTGTTTCTTACGTTAAGGAACAGAATCAGCACATCCTCGAGTTGCTTAGTTCCAAGGTGCATGTGCTTTTTTAAACAACAATTTCCGGTCAGGACTTTTGTTAAAAAACGCGGTTCATGGTAAAATACTTAAAACGCTACTCAATTTTAAGAAAGTTGTAAGTATCGTGTTGTCACAGCCACTTTGACTTAAAGTGACAGAGACAGCACGAGACTTAATGACATCTTAAAATTGAGCAGCTTTGAGGGCATTATTCTTACTAAATTCCAGGGCTTTCGAAGTGAATTCACGATTAAGGTTTTTATTGTGATAAAAAGTTTCACGGGTCAATCGGGTCAGGCTTTAAGAGATTCCTCAAAATGATTCAAGTCCGAATTGAGTACTCTTTCACCCATAGCAAAAAAAAAACGTGATAGCTTGAGGTTTAATCCCCACTGGCATCAATAGTTATTGATGTTAAAGGAAAACATCGTAAGGAATCAATAGTGATTGATGGTAAAGGAAAACGATAACTTCTGTCTGAAAAATAAAAATTTGTCGATGATATGTGATGTCTTTTGACACTTGAGCCAGCGTTGCTGGATAATTGCTTCATAACCCTGATAGAAATGAGAAGTGTCTATCTAACAGTAAAACATATAAGGCAATAACAAATATGACTTTATAGTATAATAATTACAATTATTAATAAAAATGGAACCTGCTCACTGTTGTACCATTGTAATATCACAAATAGTTCTAAATTTACTAGAATTCTAAGCGCAAGAAGAATAATACAAACCCATACAAAACGTCACCATAGATTTTAACTTACTTTGTTAGACTGACGTCGGGAAATAGTTTCTCCGCTTTGGTTATGAGGTATGCGAGTAGATTGAGCGACATGTTGAGTGCGGGCCCCATCGCGTTTGCTATCGTTTGAATATTTACTTGATTCACCTACAATTAAACTTCGATTAAAAACACATAGCATAAAGTATGAACATTTCCTTTCTAACATTTATAAGCCAGTGCAAGATTATTAAACCTGATGATACTTTTGACGTGTTTTTGTTAAGTATATATTACTTTACACGTGATAGAGCCATGCTGTAGCTATATTAGTAGTATAGTTGTAGCACGAATGGGTCTGCTCGACCGGGGAAGAACCATATTCTCACAGAAGACCAGCGTAAAATATCAATTGAATGCTGCTGTTTTTCGTATGGTAAGTGTAGATAACCGGAGACCCTTTTACTGGAAACGAGGCATTCTATCTTAGTCCTCACAGATGACGACGCATCTGATTTTTTGGTTCGTAAGAGGTTCAGAATTTTGATCGAAGATAGATGTAGACGCCTATGGGCCACAGTAACCACTTACCATCTGGTATACTGTGCGCTCGTTTGTCACCATTATACTATACAAAAAGAAAAAAGCTGAAAGTGGTAAAACGCACTGAGTTAAGCAGAAGCCTATATTGACTCTCTTTTTCCTAAAGAAACGTTACCCTTATACTGGCATCTTCTCCTGTATCGTGGAGGCGCGACTTACATACATAAATGATTTCTTATATTTACGCGAACACTATACATTGATTAAAACTACTTTTACGGATTTTATCGCGTTTTATTCATTATTAATACCCGACGTTTCGGGTGCTTTCCAGCACCCATGGTCACGGGGAACTGAGGTGACTGACGTCCCGATGTCAAAGTTAACCCAGTGTTGAATGTACACGCTTTTTAATTATTGTCTTTGGTCCGATCTACGCAGAATGAACTAACTGTGTTTTGAAGTCTTGCAGTAGTATGCTTCGGTTTAATTTTAATTTTCATAATTATAGGATCCCAAGCAGGTGGTAGTACCCAGCCTCCTTCTCTATTGAAATTAGGATGTTTTTTAATTTCATTAGCCTCACGTATCACCGTATGACCGACGACCGACGAACGATGACGACCCGGGTTCGAACCCGGGTCGGGCTAACATGAAACTGTTAATAAAATTTTCTCTAAAGAAATTTTCAGTAGTAACCCGGAGTCAGGAAATCAGCGGTGCTTCACGTCCCGTGCCTCGGAAAGCCTGTGGTCCGGTTTGCCATCCCATCGGACTATAAGAGTGAGGGAATATAAAGGGCACCTGTGTTTGCGTATACACTCGGGAACTATAGTCTTGTGTGTGTGTGTGTGTGTGAGTGCACATAGGGGAATCTTTATTATGAGGAAAAAAGAATTTACTACAGACCTGTTCATTAGCCACGACGCTAGCGAAATGCCTCATCAGCCAACCCAACAAGTTATGGTTACAAGTTGGCAGCTTGGCGATCAGAGATACCATCGTTGCCTCCCTTTGTGGTTCCGCTATGGCGGTCGCTTGTTCAAACTGACCGTGCAACTCTTGAGTCAGAATCGAATCTGGGAGCTCACTGTAATGACGTAGGTGTGTTATAGATGGATATCGTACGTAAACAAACAGCATTGTGGCAAGTATAATTGACTACAAATATTTGTAATGTGAAGCAGCTGAAGAGAATCCACTACTCCATATCATCCCAATGGTGTCGTAAAAGGCGACAGTGGTAACTTAAAATAGGAGAAGGGGAGGAACATCTTCTGGATGATAGCACAAAATAATAATAAACTGTCGGCCAACCCGCTTGTTAAGAAGAGGATTGTGAAGCTGTAAATTTTCATACAAAAAGCGATAACTTTTTCCCTCCCGTAAACATAATCAAATTTTCATAATTTTTGGAAATGTTGTATGTAGCATATAATGAAAAACCAGGTCTGTACGTTTTTATTTTAAGGAAATATTGCGTACGATATAAGTTATTAGCATCTAAATATCTGTGTTATTGACTTAAAAACTTCCTTAAGCGTTTTAATTTTTTAATTAAACTAAACTGATTTACTAAAAAAGAAAAACTTACAGACCTAAATTAAGGTATACTGAATCTAATGAGACCAAAATTGTCTCATTTCGTAAAGGTTTAGGAAGGTGAAAACGTTATATCGCTCTAAACAATATTTTAAAAAGAAGATATAGGCAATTACTTCCAATATTTGCAACTCTCTCCATCGCGCGACGGCGATACGGAGCGAGCGATGTGATATATATATATATATATATATATATATATATATATATATATATATATATGTATATATATATATATATGTATATATATATATATAATAATAATAATAATAAATTTATTTATTTACCAGAAAACACGTAGCCAAAATACAATAAGTTTTGTGACTCCCACACTAGGCATGGCCTGTCTCGTGGGGGTCAAGCAAAAGATTTTACAATTGATCAAAGTGGCTATTTGTCGAAATTACGTAAAACAATTATGTGCAGCAAAGCAAAAATGACTTAAAAATTTATGAAAAATTACAGACATAACAAACAGATTCTAATTAAAAGGGGCGCGCGTGTACTTGTGGGTGAATGTGTATGAATGTGTGTGTATGAATGTGTGTGTGTGAATGTGTGCGTGTGAATGTGTGTGTGTGTGTGTGTGTGTGTGAGCGTATGCTAGCATGTCTGTTACATAATTCTCTAAAAATTATAAGTAAAAGGGTGAGAGATTGCAATTGGGGATAAGCTGAGTGGTTAGGTAGCCCTACGATTAAATTCTTGGGATCGGACGACAGGGCGTGCGTCAGTGCAGTCTACTACCGTTTTAACACCTATTTAAGGGTCACCAATATTTCTTCTGATTTCTCATAGTCCCAAGTCAATAAATGACCTCTCATTTTTATTTTAGCCTCATAAAGTTGGGATCGTTTTAAGTCGTATAAGTTGACTAACTTGTTGTAGATGCGAGGGAATTGGAACAGTCTGAAATGACGTGCGAAAGATGTTTTAACTAAGGTTGTGGGGATCTTAAACACCCTTTTATTTATTAATGTATTAAACGTCGGCAGTTTTGAAGCTTCCCTGTGCATAAATGTAAAGGCCCTCAGAAGATACAATCTACGGACACTTAAAACTTGAGCTTCTCTAAAGAGATCTGACGTATGATAGCGCCTTGGTTTACCCATAGCTACCTTCAAAACTACCTTTCCAGTACTATCAACGTAGAGGAGGATATACCACCCCACGCCAGTACACAATAGCTAAGTACGGACTGACATAGTGCAAGGTAGACGGACTTTAAAATGCTGCCATCAGTAGAATCTCTCAATAGTCTCATCGTGTGTATCAGCTTACGGACCCTGGCTGTCACCGATGTCACCGATATATGACTTTTAAAGTTAAGATTTTCATCTATTATAATGCCTAAATATTTAAGGGAGCCGACCCTATTTATCTGGTCACAGTTACAATTTGGAGAGCTCACGGAGCGAAAACTACAGTTGTCATTGTGTACTTTAAGGCTATTGAAAAGTGAGGGTGGCGGTTCAGACGCTGCAGTTTTATGAAAACAAATTAACTGCGTTTTTGAGGTGTTCAGTGTTAAGATGTTGTCATTTAACCATTTTTGTAATTTATACAACCCGGAGATGGCTGAAAAATAGGCGTCGTACCAAGATTTACCATAGAATATTATATATATATATATATATATATATATATATATAACAGATAGCAATTTTGAAAATATCTACTCGCGCCGCGTATCAGTACTTCACAATCCTCTTAAGGGTGGCCACTAGGCTAAATATCTCTCTGTGAGGCATTCTATGGGGGGAGGTCTATGTTCAGCAGTGCACTTTTATAGGCTGTAGTGGTAGTAATAGTGGTGGGTGTAATCAATGATTGTCTATGTTCAGCGGTCTTTTAAAGGCTGTAATGATGTTTGTAATGTTTCTCAGACCTAACTTTTTTGATTATTATTTTATTAATTGACTTCAGAAAAAAAGGATCTTATAAATTCCATTATATCTCGTTTAAAGGTGTTAGGCAATTTCTCTTATCTATAAAAATACAAATATAACTAAATACAAAAATCATTGAATATAGATACAATTTTAGGCCAAAAACTCGTGGGATGTTCCTGGCAACACTAGTGCCTGTCGATGACTCTATGTCATGTCACAATTACATGACGCAGTCTGTTGTTGTTGTACAAAGGGACTGTGCGTTTACACTGTGCTCTCTGTCTTTTAATTGGACTGATCTTACTCTGACGTTTACCTGGCTATAAACTGGACTCCGATTGCTTAACGATTAGTAAACAAGAACAGCAGTCAGTTAATCTCGCGAACTAGTGGTGAAATCGTACAACTATTTTGAACGTGAATCAGTTAACGATGCGCCTCTTTTATCATTGACACAACCGAAAGAACGCGTTGCCGAAGCGTTGGAATTAAGGAAGAGGACAGTAACTTAAATTCTCAGAGAAATACGGACCATCAGGCTCGGAAGATAATACTTTACGTACACCGAAAAAAAGAAAGAGGGACAAGAAAATTGTTGGCGTTGATATTTTGATCCTGCTGCAATTTGCAACCACATTTATGGATATTACTCGAGAAAAGAATATCCTACACGGAAAAGCTATTGGTTTATTAAAAGAGGCAGACGAATTTTGGCGGTAAATTGTCTCTATCTAAGGTTTTAAAATCGATTGGCTTTAGTTTTAAAAAATCTAACAAGCGGAAAGTCCTGCTGGAAGCTAAGATATTATTTTGAAGAGAGTATCATTCTATACGTCAAGTAAATAAAATTAAAGATTGGAACAATGTTGTGTTTATTGACGAAACATAGTTGAATTCAAACCATACGGTTTCGTGGGCATGGACCAATGATGACCAATGAAGCCCGCCTTATTATATGTCACGCGGGCTCAGCTTCTCAAGGTTTTATTCCAGACTGCCTCCTCGCATTCGCGTCTAAAACTAAGTGATTACCATGAGGAAATGAACTTGACAATTGACGCTAAAATGGAAATTAAGAAAACCTCTGTTTAGTTTTTTTGACAGCATCCACAAATACTGTATTAATATTTAAAAAAAACTCTTAAAACTATTTAGACAATAAAATTTCCTAAAGAAACATTCGTATTTAGTTTATTAGGTTTGAAAAGTACTGTTTTGATCTAATCAGCGCTTGGCACGTGAATACGTCCTTAAAACCTTCCCCGGTTTTTTTAATTTTTTATAATTAAACTAAACTGAATTACTAAAAAAGAATAACATACATACCTAGTATCTAACGAGACCAAAATTTTTTCATTTCGTAAAGGTTTAGGAGGGATGTGGGGGGGGGGGGGGTTAAAACGTTATCGCCCGCAACGGTACTTCATACGTATATCGACAGTACTTGCAGCTCTCTCTATCGCACTATCTACGGCGATACGGAGTAAGCGGTATAAAACAGATTGCATTTTTGAAAATACCCACTCGCGCCACGTATCGACAATCCTCTTAATAAGGTTCATCCTTATTATTTCATTTCAGTGCATGTCCCATGGTTCATTGTGCAATAATGTTACATATTTGTAAGTAAGAAACAATGATAAGACCTGTTCAATGAAAATGTAGGTAGTTAAACTCATAATCACAAATAAAAAATAAATATAAATCAACGTCGATTACTCTCATTGAAATTTATATTTGGACCAATGGGAAAGTAAAGTACTCTTAGGATAAAATAAATAGGTTACTTTGATCTCAGATTTAGTAACATAAGTAAATAAAAAATTACAGTACAGATAAACTACTTCATTTTCGGATTTAATTCAAGCCTTAAACTAATAAAGAGCAAACATTTAAAAAAATATTACCTGATAAATGATTTAAGCATAGCACATGCAACAGGTACATCCCAGTGATAAGGGTAGGTTGGACCACGGTCGGTGAACAGTTTGCGAAGCTGCTGCAGTTTGATCTTATCTGGTTCCATTCTGTAGATTTGCGTGGATTTCAAACCGTGCGCCTGCGACATAATGTTTTTATAAAACAGTAATGTAAAATACAGATTATATAAAAGTTATATATTAAGCAAAGACTCAATTATGTTCATGGGGACTCTACAATTCATGAGAATTAGAAACGTTTGAGAAGTTACAATAGGGTGTGCTTGCTCTAAAATTTCTTAGTACGTTAGTGCCAGCAACAGAAATTTTCGCCGTTACTTGGAAATTGTAAATAATTAGGGCGAAAGACTAAAAATCAAAGTAAATCTCCAGTTCTCTGGACTTACAATACAAAACACAGCATGCTGGTGTGGTTCTTATGGTCACAGTGTGCTGGTATTTCGTATGGTAAGTGATGATGCTAAGTTGTATTAAGTGAAAGCGTGGTGTGCTCCCGGTCCAGCCGGCCCATTCATGCTGCAGCTATTATACAGCTGCAGAGTGGATCTACCACACGCCACAAATATTCCCCTATGAGATGAGGCAATCCATGAGGTATCTATGGGGATCTATTTTCAATAGTGTAATTATAATAGATTGTAATGAGTGAATGGACGAATATTATGAGAACATGATCCTTGGGTTGAGACACCTTAGCTGCACGTGGCTATCGGCTCCACCGATGCAGTAAATCATTCTTGGGGCGATGTATACGCTTTTACAACAAAATCCCAGAAAATATATAAAATTTGACCTACACAAAGTTCAAAAACTTCATTAAACTAAGTTTGTATAAAAAGGGTTATTATAATATTAAGGAATTTACGGATGATAATAACCCCCGGGAAGGGTGGTCGCTACCAAGCTATTTCTAATTTGTTTTTTTTTTTAATTTTTTAATTTATTAAGGTTTACCAATGGTTGATTACACTGTATTTAACAAAATGGCTTAAGAACTAACTTACGTAGCTAAGTGTAACAATCGTTTAAGGTAAACACCACATGCAATGTTTTGTGTTGTTAACTGTAACATATATTATTGTAAGCTGTTATTTTTAAAAAGACAGATACAGGAGAACAGAGGTTTTTTTCCGAACCAGTGGTAAATAAAAAAGTGACTTTCATTAAGTATTATTTTTAATCTATATTGAATAAAAAAGTTTCTGTTTCTATAATGCGTGTAAAACGTGTACATCCAGGCTCTGGCAACCGACTAAACGTAGAGTATGTATCCAAAATTTTCGTCGCATTTAGCTATTGGTGGAGGCGTAAGTGAATCCAACATACTATTTCGTGCAGTAGGTATAGTAGGAGGCGACTACATATGGGAAATGATAGAAAAATGTTATTGCAATTATCCATCTATTTACGCAAGGCGTAAAATTCGCAAACCGACGTCGGGCAGCAGGTAGTTTAATTGCACACCAAGTACAAAAAGGCTTACTTAATGCAAGAAGGCATTCTCTACCAGTCTACCTCCAGGCTAAGCAGAGAAGATATTGTGGGTGCAAAGTGCGACGACTCTGTGGCGCAGTGGCTTAGCAATGAGTGGCTGCGCTGGGGGTCGCGGGTTCGAATCCCGCACGGAATAATAATAATAATAATAAATATTTATTTCATTTCCAATTACACATGTTTACATACAGGAATAAATATGATTACATTTAAATAAAGTAATAATAAGTCTAACAAAAATAAAATACTATGATAAAATTAAAACTATGTGTAGCTTAATAATGTAGAATATACAAAAGAAAAATAAAAAAAGTCAAGTTTATAATATTAGCTACCTGCCTGAACTAGGTTGAGTACCTGTGTTTCAGACATCACTTACACAATGGGTTTAATAATGTAGGACACTAGATATTTAAATAATTAAACTATATTATATAATAAATAAAATAACTAAATAACAAAATAACAATTAATTGTTACCTACAATTAATACAAACTATTTTAGAATTTCTAACAACTTCTCTGTGTCTTCGTAATTTAATTTATTTAGAAATTCCCTTACACTTATATTACAGTTCTTATAACTTAGACTATATACCTTTAGTGACTTGTTGAGCTTGTTATATAGAAAGGGTCCTAAAAATATGTAGAATTTGTTCACAAATGCGTGTTTGGTTTGAGGGTTTACACAAACTAAGTCCATTCTTCTCCTATCTATGGATTTTGAGTTAAATGGAAGTTCGGTATGCTGTTTTAATATGATGTTCAGGATAAACAACTGACGGACAGTTAGTACACTACATGCCAAGTAAAGTTGATGTGTAGGAAACATGAATAGACGGAAAATGGCTACCTTTAAAACTGCTCTCTGAGCACGTTCTAATGGGAGCAATATTGTTTTAGAAGCTCCACCCCAGGAAGTAATGCCATAAGTGAGTATGGATTGACACAAAGCTAAATAGACCTGTCTTATCAATTTGAAGTCAGCGATGTTACGAAGATATTTAAAAATATATATTAATTTACGAACTCTAGCACAAAGTAAATCGATGTGCTTGCGGAAATTTAAATTTGTGTCAAGCGTGATACATAGATATTTTATGTTGTCTGTTTTTGTTAATGCGGAACATGCACATGCAGTGTCATTATACGAGTTACAATTATGAGCGTAAATATTTAGGTGAGTAGGTATGTTATTATTTCTCATTAAACTTACTTACTTATCTTCACGCACAATCCCTAACGGGGTAGCCAGAGAGAACAGATCGCCAAGTGTCACGATCCTTACATTCCTCTTTCGCTGCTGAGCGTATTTATAAACCTCATCTCGTGATTTAGCTGAGAATAACAGGGCTGTGTCATCTGCATACGACATAATGACACCATTTTGAAGTTGAAGATTGCATAAGTCATTTATATAAATTAGGAACAATGTAGGCCCCAGGATACTGCCCTGTGGGATTCCATAAGAGCTGTTTTGTAATTCAGTACTTGTATACTCATCGATTTTTACACATTGAAAGCGATCACTGAGGTAATCAGAAAAAAATTGTAGTTGAGTTCCCCTTATGCCAAGTATTTCAAGCTTTTGCAATAGTATAGGGCAAGAAATAGTATCAAATGCTTTGGCAAGGTCTAAAAAGATCCCAATTGAGTGCATACCGTTGTCAAGATTACTTGTGACGTAATCTGTAAATTGGTGCAAGGCATCATTGCATGATCTCTTAGGCCTAAAACCAAATTGTCTGTCTGACAGCAAGTTGTTAGTTTCCAGGTATTTTATTAACCTGGTATTTATGATCTTTTCTAAAATTTTAGATAAGCCAGATAAGATTGAAATCGGCCTATAGTTACTTAGTTTTTATCACCAGCTTTGTAAATAGAAGAAACCACTGCTTTTTAAGCACTTTCGGGAAAATACCATTTGATAGGCATAATTGAAAGATATGTGTTAACGGGGCGGCCAGTAAATGTTTAAATCTTTTGAGTATGCGATTAGGTATAAGCCAGATATTATACTTAAAATCTCATCAATATCGGTATGTAACAATACAAAAGAATTTAACTTAGAAAAGGATGTGGGCATAAAAATTGGATTACGAGTGTTGCTTAATTTTAAAATTGTCTCTTCTTTTTTTTGCCAACATTAATAAAATTAATGAACTTCCATACAAGTTTACTGTTTTTACCGGCCTTTTGTAAAACATTTTTATCATATTGTATTTTTAGGTTTTTTAATAGTTTATTGCAAAAATTCCTATATCTTTTATAAGTAGCAGAAAGTATTAAATTATCAGGAGAAAGTTTAGATTTTAAATGAAGTTTGTCTCTATTTCTTATACAGCGGACGAGACCAGGTGTTATCCAAAGTTTAATATTATAATACTTACGTGACAGTTTTATTGTTGTTGTATTATTCATTATTGCGTATTGTAAAGAATTTATAAAGTAACTCAAGGACGTATTTGCATCGTCAGAACAATAAACAAAGTCAAAATTAATGCTACGAATGTCATTTTCAAGATTCGTCATATGGACTTTAGTGTAGTTGCGTATGCAGTTTTGCCTAGGTAAGGCTAATTGTAATGTTAGTAAAATTGCTTGATGATCAGTAAGCGAGGAATTAGTAACTAATGTTAAAGAAGGGTTATTTGATTTAATCACAAAATGGTCTAAACAAGAGCCGCTTTGATGTGTAGGGTGGTAATGTGTTGGTAATAGCCCATGAAAAGAGCAAATATTTAGGTAGTTATGTGCATGGTTATCTGTTTTCTCAGGGGTAATGTTAATATATTTATGTCACCGGTTAGGATTATATTTTTATATGTGCTAAATTTGTAGGTAATTAAGGTAATATCAAGGGACTCTAGAAATCTATCAATATTTTGTGAAGGAGGTCTGTAAACTGCGATAACAATCGTCTCGGAATTAATTCGAATGATTAAGCAATTACTATCCTGGAATGTAGGTTCTGTGACAGTTACTTTTAAATTATTTTTAACATAGGTTACTAAACCGTCATTTTGATTAATGTTTTTCTCGGTTTTGTGTAAAGAATAGCCATTAAGAATCGGTAGGTGGGATGGGAGGTTTGACAGCCAACATTCTGTAAGGATAATAATATCACATTTTATAACCAGTCTATGCAACAAAACTTCAAACCCGGTTATATTCCGATTTATGCTTCTAATATTTTGTGTAAGTAAGATTAACTTATTTTCAGGACGTGGAAGGAAGTGTTTACAGTCATCAACATTACATGTTTTGGCGTCAGACACAGAAAAGTTGTCTAGGTCATTGAGTAATTGATTCGCCATACTTAAGCTTAAAGACAAACTAAAACTAAGTGTTTAAGAGCTAAGTAAATAATATAATACGCGGCGCTCTTAGGCGCCCTTGTAGTCTATGGAGTTGATATATTTGTCCTCTGCGAATTTACGTGCTGGACAGCTTTCATCACCAGTTTTGTGGTCGCATTTTCTTTTAAAACGTTTACACGTCGCGCAAACGGGGGCATGCGCTTTGTTATTACATTCCTTAAAAAATGCCCGAGCTCTCCACAGTAGTTACATGTAGGGCTACTTTCCCGACAAAATTTGGCTGAATGACCAAACTGCTGGCAGTTGAAGCATCTTGTTACTATTGTAAAGTCTCTGACTGGGCATGAGGTCCAATTAATATAAATTAGTCCTTGATTGATAAGGGCCTTCCTGATGCTAGGTGACACTTCGACAATGTAATTACAGGTAGGAAGGTTTTTCTTACCTGATTTACGGCTCAGTTTGACTGTTGCCAGGAAGGACTCACGCGTGGCATTGGGAAATTTATCGGCAATATTTTGTTCGAAAATGCACTCGAACACTTCTTTATCCGTGAGGGCTACAGGGACACCAACAATTGCAATCCTTGGACGTCGTTTAGTCGGTTCTTCCATGGTAAGGCCAGAAGATACAAGCTTCTCGGAGTTCTTTAATTTGTCGATATCTCCTTTTGTCTCAGCGCTAATTATAACTCCCCCCATTTTTGACCTTCCTCATGCCTCGGACATGTAGTTTGAGTTCTTCTGGGGATATTATTTTTTGTAAGAGGCACTTCGTGTCATCACTGGATTTGGACTTGTCCCTCGGATAAATTGCTAAGGTACTAAGGTAGTTTGGGCGAATGAGAGTTTGGCCACCTTTTTTGACCATGTCCGCAAAAGTGGTTCCAGAGCCCGGCTTTGATGACTCTTCGATACTATTCTTGAGTTCCTGCAGCTTTTGGGACAGGTCAAGTTGGTTCTGCAGAGATACGATGGAGGTCTGGGCTTTAGTGGCATCCATTTTGAGGGACATGTACTGGACTACCAGTTGTGATATACCGTGGCTTACTTTTCGACAAAGCGAGCTAATGCGCATTTTTTGATCAGAGTTAAGTTTTCCCTCTGTAGCGATGGAGCACACCTCGTTATGGCACAGGTCAATGCTTGTCATCCAATGCTGCAACTCAGAGTTGGAAGTGTTTTAATTGGTTCGCTTGAAGTGGGTGTCTGCATGGGCGGGGTTGATGGAGGCGGGGTGCGAGTGGTCCTGGCACTCCGGTTGAAGGGACTGTTCTCCATTTTAGTACCTATTCTAGATAAAGCTAAAACATTTCAACAAAATCACTAACACAAATATAACTAAAGTATGTCACAGTTACTTCCGGTATTGTTATAACGAGGTCACGGCTAAGCACATACTTATTTAATTATTTTAATTACTATATGACACGTCTGTACACAATAACGTGCACTTACGAACTGAATAAGTATTTGTATGGCCTACATATAGTTGTTCCGGGTCTGGATGTTTGTCCCTGTGCAATTTATGTTTGTAAACTGCCCACACGATACAGGAGAAAATCTTAGTGTAGGGGTAACGTTTTAAAAAAAAGTGCAAACAGCTAAAGTTATTCTATTTCACGATGAAGTCAAACGGTTTGGTTGTTCTTAGCCGTGCACATACACATTGTATTAGTGTGCGCAGACCTCGGGAGCGCTCAGTCACGATCGCGAATCGAACGAATCGCAGTTACACACACAAACGCACCTGTCGGTACAAGTCAACAAACAAGGCGAAATCTTCATCGTGAAACAGATTAACTATACATTAAAACAACAACAAACTGCGTTCGTCAAACGGCTCGCCAAGCATAATAATTAAGACAAAACTTCATTAGGAGAGGCCGATGATTAGAAGTTCACTGCTGTGAGGTAATCATGAAGATTTTCCTTTAAAAAGTTAGATACTTTGGGAGATTAGGGGACTAAGAGGAAATGTAAGTACACTAATTACAAACACACGACAGTTGCTAACTCTTCCCTGCTGTGAGAACCCGACAGACGTATGTAGTATATAATTTTATTATAAACAAGCGATCCACCCCAGTTTCGCACGGGTAATTTCTGTATCTCGACAACAGCGTCACCTGTCGGATCCAAATGTGAATCTAAAACATCCATTCAAACACAATTTTTTTTTAGAAATATAGATGTTAATTTCATTTTTAAAGACTTAAGTCTCAAAGTAATATCTAAAATATTTAAAATAACTACTAAACAATATAATAGGTAAAATCTTTATACGACGAAATTAAGTTTAAATAATGTGGTTTCTATTCGATTCCTAGGAAACAGGACTCCTCTTATGTGTGTAGGAGCTGGTCTTGGTAATGACCACCCTTCTATCGACGTGCACTACTGCGTCCCGGTCTATCTATCTATATGTCGTAGAATAATTAGATAAACCGTATTTTCCGCAAACATATATAGATATCGCGAAAATACGGAGAATTATACGATTGGTTGAATCTGTTCTAAAACCTAATCAGCACGCTCCGACTCCACGTACTCCTGTCTGCCCTACCCCTAGAGTTTTTGTAGCCGTAGGCGCAGAGGGAGAGTAGCCCCCACTCGCAGTAGCAAATTGCAGGTACCCCGTGCGAGCCGTAACAGCTGAGGCTGGTCGCTGAAGTCGACCAATAAGCCGAAACTGCGGAGGTGAGCATGGGTGCCTGCGATTTGCTACGCAAGGCGAACGGGCTCCACTTCGCGCAGCGCCGAAGCTGTTGCAGAAGTAATTTTGGGTCAATATTCCTGTGTAAAAAGTGAGGTTATCATTACACCAAAAAAAATCCTATAATCAAAATCAAGCTGATCAGAGTCAAGTATATTCAAACTTGCTAAACCCCTGATCTTTTTTTTAGTAAGATTGAGGAATGTTATAGCCATCGTCTAATTGTCTGTGTTTTCCCGATATCTCTAGATTTTTGCAGAAAATTCGATTTATCTTATAATCCTATGACATATATAAAACACAAAAAATGTTTCCACATGTCCGTTATAGACTTTGAAATCATCCAATCGATTTTGATGAATTTTTTGCGTTTGAATGGGTCCCTAGATGGTTCATATTCATCCGGTAGGTGGCGCTGTTATCGAGATATGAACCACCCGTGCGAAACCGGAGCGGATTGTTAGTAAGGTATAAAGAGCAAATATAATTATTATAGGCTGTGTTAGACATAAGAGGTGATCACACATCTGTAACCTACTTTGATTGAAGTTGGTTGCAGGTGTCCATGGGCTACTTACGACCAGGTAGACTGTAAGTTTCTTTGTTACTTCAGTGTTACAAAAAAAACGAAGCTTTGAAAACATTTATAAATTACATTTTCTTACAATTTCGTAAACATTCATTTAGTTTAAAAAAAATTGAATAAGGGTGACAAACGAGCACGCAGTCTACCTGATGGTAAGCGGATGCTGTGGTTCATAGACATCTATATGTATTTGATTAAGAATCAAAACGCAGATGCTTTATCACCGCTGAGGACTAAAATGGAATGCCATACATTCACCACACGAAACACAGCAGTATCTTACGCTGGTATCCTGTGAGAGCGTGGTCCTTCCCCGGTCGAGCCGACCCATTCGTGCTACAACTATAACACAGCTGCAGCGTGACTCTACCACGTATAAAAAATATTTATAGTTTTTATAATAATATGTAAAAGATTACATATACGTAAAAACTATAATACATATTATGTTATTAATGTTACAGTTAAGTTAATTAAAAAGTTGGAAAATATACTTATTTAATTTCTTACCTGGAGGAAATCGATGCTATCGCGTACCACAAGAGGCAGTCCCGTATCGTCGTGGCATCTCGAACGTTCCACAGACTGTTGGAGGGGCACTCCAAAAATGGGCAGAGCCACTAAAATAACAAATAGAAAATGTGATTAAGTATGAAAATTTGATTACTGGAAACCAGAGTTGGCAGTAAGCGCATCTTGCGATGAAAATACGGATCTAGGCACACGGCGGTGTAACATTTTTTTTTTCATGAACATTTTGTCTTTACAATTATTACACCAATCATTACTTACTTGTGACCCTATTAATAAATACTAAATTTCATGAATAAACCATTACAGAGCGAGTTAGTAAGTCATTTTTATCACTCACTACTCGTTCATGTCTATTAGATAACGGTCTATCAGTCTTCTTAGAGGCCGCTTTTTGACTTGAAATTTGGTCTAAATGTAGATGGTCTAAATGAGAATGGGCCGCATGGAAAGTAAAATATTCAAAACAAAAATAAAGTAGCAATATTTTTGAAGCTTTACCGTTCAGTTACTTCCTTTCTAATTAATTTAAGTTTTATTCTCAACAAAAAAAAAAACAACCAGAAAACGAATGGACTATGCGCTCTATCGTGTGATTACACCGATAGTGAAAACCATGATAAATTTTTTAAAGTCATGTAATTAGGGAAACTTTTATGACCGTAAGTCATAATATTTTCCCTAGTGTTCTAAAAATATTTTTATAGCTCTATAGTAAAAACGAGAAACAGTAGTTTAATGGTAACAAGTTGTAACCTTCGAACAACTGCTTCTAGAATTAATAACAGCTTGTATTTATAAATCGGAATTGATTTGAATTTACGAATAATATTATGAATATTGCTATTTGTTAAGAGCAGTATCCTTCTACATGAACTGCTTCGTTGGTCTAGTGGTTGTAGTAGTGCGACTATTGATCATGAGGTCATAGGTTCGAATCCCGGGTCGGGTCAAAAATCAATTATTGAAATTTTCCGTCAAGAAATTCTCTGATCTTTCTCCGGTCGTTTCGGTTTACGTCCAAACGTGCTTGCGCATAAACTTGGGCACTGTAATCCTGTTCTACGCCAATGGCTGATCTCCGTTGAGGCAGGGCGCCGTGACCGAAATTTGGTCCGGAGGACAGTAATATCATTCTTCTATATAGAACAGAAAGAGCCGTTAACCTATGTATGCTTATCACATGTATCTGCCATATGCGTATTACATGCTTGCACCTTAGTGCTAACGCAACCTAGAAAAAACTAAGTAAACAAACAGAAAACTTAGTTTTTCTAGATTTACGACGCGTCACTTTACCAACTGTGAGCCGTGGTAGCTCAGATGGTTAGCGCTCGCTGTAAATTTCACAATACGCGAGCAAACCAGGTTCGATCCCCGCCGGCACCAATGAAATTGTTAATTGCAATTTTAAGTGCTGACTTATCACGTGCTCGACGGTGAAGGAAAACACCGCGAGGAAACCTGCATGTCTGAGAAATAAGAAAAAAAAAATATATTTCAAAGACATGTGAAAGTTCGCCAACACGCATTGGGGCAGCGCGGCGGACTATTCCTCGCCCTAAAACCCTCTCAGAAATGAGAGGAGGCCTGTGTCCAGCAGTGGGACGTGTATATAGGCTGTAACTTTACTTTACTTTACACTTTACCAAATGTGCAAATAAGATATATGTATTATGTTAGTGCAGTTTTAGTGCAAACTGTGGATTAGCTAATTTCTTGGAGTTAAGATTTTTTTTTATATAAAAGAGGGGCATACAAGCATGCGGCACACCTGATGGTACGTGACTACCGCCGCCCCTCCCCCTCATGAACAACCGCAACACCAGGGGAATTGCAGGTGCGTTGCCGGCCTTTTAGAAAGGAGTAAGAATTTTTCTTGAAGGTCCCTAAGTCGTAACGGTCCGGAAAAATCTCTGGTGGTATAGAATTCCACAGAGAAGTTGTACGAGGAAGAAAACTCCCAGTAAAACGCACAGTGGTGGACCGGTGATGATGTTCTCAATTTATTTATTGAAGTCGGTTGTACAAAATTTTTAATTTTACCACTAATGTGTCGCCATAAAGTTGCACTTTGGTCTAAAGGATACAGAGAGTATAATTACACAACCTTAATCAAATAACATGCAGCAGATTGTCAATGGATTTAACAGTTTTTTAACCGACTTCAGAACGGAAGAGGCACTCAATTCGACTGTATGTCTTTTTTATGTGTGTTACCTTATAACTTTTTCTAGGTGAACCGATTTTGATGATTCTCTTTTTATTTGAAAGCTGGTGCTTTTCGTGTGGTCAAACTACAAACATTTTTTTAATTTTGCAACTTGTACGACATTCATCTCTGTTCATCAATCCATTCATCCACGCCCATAAAAGTTTACTGCTAAACATAGGCCTCCCCCATATATTTGTTCATGATGAGAGGTTTTGCCATAGTTGCCAAACTTGGTAGGCGGTTTGGCAAGTTTTTTTTAGTATTTTGAGTAGTTATAAAGAAGATGCTGTTGTCCATATCTTGTCTCTATCATATCTTACGGCACCCCCGGGATGATATGGGGCAGTGAATTCTCTTACGCTGCCACTACACGAAAAAAGTTATACGTAAATACCCATTATTTACGTATAACTTTTTTCGTGAGGTTCACACTTTGTAGTCTTATAAAATAATTCATCCCTGACCATTATAAGTATATTATTATCATTGTTAATTAATGTTCCAGATCCATGAAACTTAAAAAAGAAACATGTGTGCAGTTCACACGCTGTAGAAGTGAAACCTTTAGAAGACTAAACTTCGAATGAGACGAATGCATATCAGGAGTAGGATAATTGTAATATGTAAAATATAAATAAATTTACAATAAACACTGAAATTGTACACTATATTCTATCTCTTTCATTCGCAGCCTAAATCCTATAGATGTATATGTTTGTCTCTTTTTTGTGTCGAGTTTCAAATCACAACGAATCCAAAGAAGTTTTCCCTCAAAAAATATTGTATCTATATTTTATTTTATCTTCATCTTTGTTTTATTTTTAACACAGATATAGTAATAAAGATAGAAAGCATGATTTGCAATGCGCTCCACCAACAAAACATTTTTATATAAGTTATTTTTATACAAGTTTTTTTATACGTGTTAGAGCGACGCTACAGCTATATTATAGTTGTAGCACGAAAGAATGTGTCGGCTCGACTGGCGAAGGACCACGCTCTCACAGAATACCAGCGCAAAATAGCAGCTTAATTCTGCTGAATTTAGTAATAGCTTCATTGCAAGATAGCTAGTTATGGATGTTTTTGGGAAAATAATCTGGCAACACTGCCTAACAGTTACAGCCGCTTTGCCCTTTGCGTTCCGTAATGCCGTTCCAGTTAACCGGTGCGCGAAATGGCATACTTGGAAATTGAATTGTTTGGGCCATTTGATTATAAATCGCAATCATTTTCAATTAAAATTACACCTCTAACGAAATACACGAATCTATGCATGTTTGTGGCTAGAAATAATTGTTCTAGCTCTGGATGTTTTTCCACGATACAGAAGAAAACTTTAATGTTTTGATGCAATATTAAAAATGTATATTATTGCCGTGTAGAGTCTGCAAGTCCGAGAGACGCTTACATTCGGAGTCAGATGAGGTTGAAATCCGGCTATTTAGCGTGGCAACTATGGCAAGTCTCTCTCTGTAAGTAAATATTTTTATATGTGGTAGAGCCATGCTGCAGTTATATTAGAAGTATAGTTGTAGCACGAATGGGTCGCCTCGACTGGGAAGGACCACGCTCTCACAGAATACCAGCGTGAAATAGCAGCTTAATGCTGCTGTGTTTCGTATGGTCAGTGTAGAGAACCGGAGACCCTTTTTACTGGAAACGAGGCATTCCATCTTAGTCCCCACGGGTGAAAACGCTTCTGCATTTTGATTCGTAATCGAGGATAGATGTAGATGTCTATGGGCCACAGCAACCACTCACCATCCGGTGGACTGTGTGCTCGTTTGTCACCCTATCCTATAAAAAAAAATATGTGGGGGAGGCCTTTGTTTAGCAGTAGACTTATGATAAATTGTAACGGTAAAAATATAAAATAATTCAAATCATTCAAACGACCGAGTACATCGTATTTTTGTTATCATAGGGAAAACCTTTTACTGTTCAGACATATTAAATTGCTCTGGCGTAGGTAGATATCGAACGTGGGAAGATAAGTGCAGAATTCGTTTACATAAAATATTGGACATTGACATTATAACAGTACGTTTGCACTGACAAACATCCAACACCTAATGTTTTGAAACAAATCGCATAAAATTAATCACATAACATGTTTTGTAAATGATGACGTTCCCACTCACAAAAACTGTGTAAAATTTTAAACAGATATTCAAACTTATTTTTCAACATGACAATATTTCTACAAATTTGTTTTCAAACATTTTGTTTCTGTAGTTATAAAGATATAATGTAGTTGAAATATGTAATGCTTACGCTTTAACAATTATTAAATAATTTTTAATGCGTAAGCAGTCTTATACCTGCGCATGCATATTCTTTGCCCCTAGTAATTTATATTTAAATTTCTTAAATTGTGTGTAAAGTGTGATTATCAAATAAATAGTTCTTTCTTTCTTTCTTTCTTCTTTCTAATGTATAATAAAATGTCAAACATATTTCACTACAACATGTTCTTTGACTATGCAAACGCTTTTTGATACATTGACAGAAAACAGTGTTTAAAACATGTTTTTTTGTGAAAATCGCGTCAGTGCAAACTCACGGTAACACCTACATAACATAAATATTCAGAACAGTGTTTATTTTATATCTGACAAAGTATAAATATTTTAATATATGCACACTTTATACATAATGTATAAGTAAGATTTTTTTTATAAGAGTGACAATCGAGCACACAGTTCACCCGATGGTAAGTGGTTGCTGCGGCCAATAAACATAGACTACATCTATCTTCGATTACGAATCAAAATGCAGATGCGTTGTCACCTGTGAGAACGAAGATGGAATGTCTCTTTTCCAGTAAAAAGGATCTCCGGTTCTCTACACTCACCATACGAAACACAGCAGCTTTAAGCTGCCATTTTACGCTGGTATTCTGTGAGAGCGTGGTCCTTCCCGGGTCGAGCCGACACATTCGTGCTATAACTATAATACTAACATAGCTGCAACATGGCTCAACCGCGCAAAGTTTCGCACCTGCTATCAATATCTTTGGCACCCAAGGTTGATTTGCCAGAGATTGCCACATGGCATTAAATACGCCATATGTACCCTTAACTTTTAGGTGTTACACATAGTAAGCATTTAAATAAAATAAAATAATATAAATTAAATCTGTACAATCTAACTTACCTCCTAATGTGAAAATCTCTTCAAAAGGCACTCCTGATGTCACAGTGGACGGCACTTTTATCAGTTTCTTATCCTTTTTATCCTTCTCCTTTTCCTTCACTTTTTCTTTATCTTTATCTTTTACCTTCTCTTTTTCTTTTTCCTTTGTTTTCTCTTTTTTGTCATCTTTAAGTTTTTCTTTCGATTCTAATTTGAACTTGGCCTTTTCTTCTTTTTCCTATCAATGATATTTCGGTAAATGAACAAACAATATCAATATAAAAATAAAATAAAACGTTAAATACGTTTTTGGCAAAAGAAATTTTAAAATGGAAAAGTTATGGACCAAAATGGAATTTCTACAAGAAACTACTACAACACAAAAATCAGTGGTCATAGACCGTAAAAGATTTGAAAGAGCATAAAACGTCACAGTCGAAACAAAATATAAAACGGCACCTTTGTAAAAACGCAGCGCAGGTGATGCATGTCGCGATTTCAAAAGGCAACTGAATAAGCGCTTTGTTGAGTGTTTACCCACCAAGGTCGTTTTGTCTAGCGTCGAATTTATGCATAAGTCACGGACGAGCCGCAGAACCGTGAAATTCTGATGTTTACCGTAAATACATAATTATTGAAAATATGCACAAATCAAAAAAAAAAATGGAGAGGAGAGGAGACATTTATAACTTAAATACTGCTACCTACATGATTGCGGAGTACCCCAAGTGTTAAAGGAATGTACATTTCCTGAAACTATTTTTTTTACTTCCCGCTATGAAAATCAATGGTTTTCAAAAAATCGGGAAGTTATTGGTTTCACCCCAGTTTTCGAATATTGGGGTTTCATCAGATCTAGACGTTTTGATGTCTTAGGAAGCTATTCTGACTGTTTCAACCGATTTGGAGCGGTATATTTTGAGAAATCTCAAGAATAAAATTTTCTAAAAAATATTTTTTGGAATCACTTTTAAACATGTAACGATCAATTCCAAAATCTAATCAACTCTTAAGCATGTGAAACGACGTCGATTGCTGCGAACAGCTTCAAAATCGGTTAGTGCGTTGAAGAAAAATAGATGACAAAAAATTTCGTAGTGTTTTTTTTTTTCACATAACTTTTGAATTTATAGTCAAATAAAGTTCGTTTTTTTTAATAGATTTTATTATTATTCTCAAAATACCTCGTCGATTGTTACCAATTGGTGGCAATGCCAATTAAATTAAAATCGGATGATCACTTCGAATGTTATCGTTGTCAAAAATTTCAAAGAAAGTGTTTTTTTTAATCGAGTCGTTTTTGATGTAATGAGTTAACCATTCGTTCGTAAAAATATTTGTCGAGGGTTTTGAGATCGAACATAGCGGGAAGATCCAGGGATAGCCTGCGAGGTCAACCGTTATTTTCAGATTATTTTAATTATTTTACCTATACAGGTTTCCTAACGTTTCTTCAACTCGTAAATCAGGACTCAACAAATAGGTTTCATGTATTGGATCCGATATATGGTGTTGGAAGTTGGTGATAGTGAAACGAAGTTCTATGGCTTTGTAATGTACATGTAAATTGATTAAAATCGTACTCAGACAAATAAAAAAAGAATCAGAATCAAATAAAAAAAAACACCACAGTGATTATGAAGATTTTAAAACTTAGGGTTTATTAAAAAGCTCATACATATTAATGCTTCTTAAAGTCCTTTTACAAGTTGAAGCGTACCAATTAATTGGTTCAGGCACGTAAGAAAGTCTTACAGAAAAGACATTGTATAATAGCGTCTTAGCAACGCGCCAGGAAAGGTGCTTTAAAAAACGCAGGATTTACCGCAATTGGGCAACCCTACGAGATTAAGTTCGTTATTTTTCTTTCAATCAGAATTTTAGGTGGCGTACTTAACCACCTTTAATAAGTGAAAATATGTCCTAATTTTTGAAAATCATCAAATAAAAATGTGAGTAAGGATTGTGATAAGGAAAAGTTTTCGGTCCTCCCGTACCTCCGAAAGGAGTACGGCTGGTGTAAGGGTTGTCACCTTTTTTTGAACAAATATAGTATTTTTCCCAAAAAGATTCAAAAATATAGTAGAGTACCTTTGAGAAATTCAGGAGAAAAAATTACATATTTATTTTTAATCTTTATGTATGTTTCCATATGTGCCGTGTAGTGGCGGTTGAGAATATCCACTACCCCATATCTTCCCGTGGGTGTCGTAAGAGGCGACAGAGGGAGACAGGCAGGAGATGGGCAGCAGCATCTTCCTAATAACAATAATAATATAATAAAAAAACTGCAGTTGCCAACCCGCTCGCCAAGCGTGGCAACTACGGCAAATATCCCTCCCATGAATAACGATGCAAACGGCCCCCAGTCCCCGGCGGCCCCGCTATTCCTGGCTACGTTGGCGACCATGGTAACGGCGGGGCAGAGGGTGCTAAGAATCTCCGGTGGAGGTTCGTTGCCACCTACGACGACTCGACCTGGCAACATATAACGCACGCACCCTGAGGAGTGACGAGAAGATACTGGAGCTGGAAGAAGAGGTAGACAAGTTGCGCTGGCATATTATTGGATTATCCGAAGTCCGAAGACAGGGGGAGGACACGGTAATCCTCGAATCCGGCAACTTGTTCTATCACCGGGAGGGCGACCATCTGTCCCAAGGAGGTGTCGGAGTTATCGTTCACAAGTCTCTTGTCAACAACGTTGTAAAGATTGAGGGTGTGTCGACGAGGGTCGCGTACCTGATACTCAGAATCACCAAACGGTATTCGCTGAAGGTCATACAGGTTTACGCACCAACCTCGCCACATCCCGATGAGGAGGTGGAGGAAATGTATGAGGATATTCCAGAGCCATGCATTCCTCCAAACCCACTACACGGTGTTGATGGGAGACTGCAACGCAAAACTAGGCACAAGAGAAAGCGGTGAGCTGAAGTTAGGGAAATTTGGAGTAAGGCAACGTAACCGTAAGGGCCAGCAGGTGGCCGACTTTATGGAGAAAGAGGGACTCTTTATGATGAACTTTTTCTTCCAGAAGCGGCCCCACAGGAAGTGGACCACGTCGAGACCCGATGGTTCGACAAAAATGAGATTGACTTCATTATGACGACCAGACGCCAACTGTTCAGTGATATCTCAGTGATCGCAAGGGTGAAAACTGGCAGCGATCACCGAATGGTCAGAGGCACACTGAACCTGAACATTAAGATGCAGAGGTCTCGTCTAATGAAGTCAACGCTCCGTCCCCCTCGTGCTCTAATCCAGCATCCCGAAACTTTTCAGCTCGACGACACACGACGACGACGACGACGATATGAATGACAAGCTCGTGGAAACTGTCCATGCATTCGGAGCTAAGTTCTGCAAGACCCGCCGCAGAAGAACACAAAAACTCCCTGATCACACTCTTAATCTCATGGCTGTTAGACGGGAGATGAGGCTACAATCGTCAACAGATTTGACAGCATACAGGCAACTGAACAGACAGATCTCCAAATGCATGCGGCAAGACTTGCGCAACTTCAATACTGCTCGTATTGAAGAAGCGATCGAGCGGAACCAGGGCTCCAAAATCTTTGCCAGAGATCTGTCTGCCAGTAAGAGCCAACTGTCAAAGCTGAAGAATGAGTGTGGCAGCATCGTTTCCGGGACACCTGAGATTTTGAGTGAGATTGAGAGGTTCTATTGGCAGCTGTACACATCATCGTTGGAGCCACACGCAAGTGCGAGTAACGATCCAAGAGCAAGTCTTATTCGACACTATTCCGATGAAATCCTGGACGTCATCTGAGCGAGATTAGAATGACTCTCCAGCACCTTAAAAACGGCAAGTCCCCGGGCGAGGATGGAATTACAGCGGAGCTTCTGAAAGCGGGTGGAAAACCGGTACTTGAAGTCCTTCAGAGGCTCTTTAATTCCGTCCTCCATGGTGGCACTACTCCAGAGGCGTGGAGAAGAAGTGCGGTGGTCTTGTTCTTCAAGGAAGGTGACCTCTTGAAGAACTACAGACCGATATTCCTTCTGAGCCGCGTCTATGTGCTGTTTTCGAGAGTCATTACGAATCGTCTCACACGCAGACTCTACAACTTCCAGCCTCCCGAACAAGCCGGTTTCCGAAAAGGCTTTAGTACCATAGACCACATACATACCCTTCGGCAAATTGCACAAAAGTCCGAAGAGTACAATCTGCCACTTTGCCTGGCGTATGTGGACTATGAGAAAGCCTTTGATTCCGTCAAAATTTGGGCGGTGCTACAGCCTCTTCAGCGGTGCCAAGTTGACTGTCGGTATATCGAAGTGCTGAAGTGTTTGTACAGTAGGGCTACGATGGCTATCCGAGTACAGAACCAGAGTACGAAACCTATCCAACTGCAGAGAGGTGTAAAACAGGGTGACGTTATTTCCCCGAAACTCTTCACCGCTGCATTGGAAGAGGTTTTCAAGCTACTGGACTGGAAAGGATACGGTATTAACATCAATGGCGAGTACATCACTCACCTTCGATTTGCCGACGATATAGTCCTCATGGTAGAATCGCTGGAGGACTTAAAACACTATGCTCAATGACCTCAATAGTGCCTCCCAACGGATAGGTCTTAAGATGAACATGGACAAAACAAAGATCATGTTTAATGTCCACGTCACACCTATGCCGGTAGTTGTTGGGAGCACTAAGCTCGAAGTTGTTGACAAGTACGTTTACCTGGGACAAATAGTCCGACTAGGTAAGTCCAACTTCGACCGAGAGGTCAATCGACGGATTCAACTCGGCTGAGCAGCGTTCGGGAAATTACGACGCATCTTCTCGTCAGGTATACCTCAAAACCTGAAAACTAAATTGTACAACCAGTGCGTGTTGCCAGTGATGACCTACGGAACCGAGACGTGGTCCTTCACTGCTGGCCGTATGAGGACGCTCAAAGTCGCTCAACGAGCTATGGAGAGGGCTATGCTTTGCAAGCTCGGAGTTTCTCTGCGTGATAAACTTAGAAATGAGGATATCTGCAGTAGAACCAGAGTGACCGACATAGCTCAACGGATTAGTAAGCTGAAGTAGCAATGGTCCGGCTATATAGCTCGAAGAACCGACAACCGTTGGGGAAGAAGGGTTCTCGAGTGGCAGCCTCGTACCGGTAGACGAAGTGTAGGGCGACCCCCCACTAGATGGAGTGACGACCTGGTAAGACATGCAGGAAATCGATGGATACAGGTGGCTCAGGACCGTGTTTTGTGGCATACCTTGGGGGAGGCCTATGTTCAGCAGTGGACTTGTGAAAAGCTGTAATGATGATGATGTTTCCATATGTATTTGTTATTGCTCTCTGCTTTGGCCTTAATTATGTAATACATTTAAAATAATTATAGGAGTCTAAGCAATTTAGATTCATAATAAAATAAATTACCAGTTAATTTTTAATTAAATTACGAGTACATATCATGACGGAAAAAAATATTTCCGTAAAACTTACTTGTTCCAGTCTTCTAATCACAGTTAAAAAATCACATAATTAAGAATAAAAAAATATTTTTCGTACTATATTATTTTTCTATAATATATAGTACAATTGACTGTATATATATATATATATATATATATATATATATATATATATATATATATAAGTACGATACTATATATTATAGTACGGGTGGCAGCCCTAGCTGGTGTACATGTAGTGGTGGCTTTAGCAGTTTTAAATTATAATACGTATAATGAGTGTGCATTATATATGGTTCCCCTGCTCTGTGATGGCCGCGTAAGAGAATCCATTATACCATTTTTCGTCTCGTATATGTTGTACGATGTGCGGGGTATCCCAAAAAGATATTATAGTTTCCGACAGATGGCGGTATAACCTTTACGTCAAGCGTAAAATATCCAGCCTGGCGACGGGAAGCAGCGTCTGATATCATCAGTCGGACTACCAAGTGTGACGACTCAAGCAAACCCTCACTACAATGGGAGATGCCCACCTCTAGCATTAGATTTTTACGGGCTAAAAAAGAAAAGATATTTGGAATTATTATTTTTATAGAACAAGGGGCAAACGAGCATACGGCTCACCTGATGGTAAGTGGTTACGTCGCCCATGAGCAACTGTAGCACACACTTTTAAAAAGGAGTAGGCTCTTTTCATGAAGGTCCCTAAGTCGTATCGGTCCGGAAAAATCTCCGGTGGTAGTGGATTCCACAAGTTAGTTGTGTGAGAGTCGCGAGTTTTGTCGCGATGTGCGATGGTGAAAATGTGCGGCTGGAAGTCCGAACTATTCCTCAGAGCACTCCCCGTGGTAAATTTAAATATCTTATATTAAAAAAAAAAAAGAAACACGCTCACATACGAGTATCTTAGCTCAATCCTAGTCGTAAATCGTAACTGAATAATTTGCTGCGCCGCGTCGTACAGCTTGCAACTAATTGCTGTTCTTAGAAATGATATTGACATTAGTTTGTGATAAAGTTCAAATTACGAATGTTTTAGGAGAAATTACTACCGTCAATAGTTTTTATAGGGTACAATACCATTGTTTCCGATGTTTGCCGATGCCCAATATTTATTCTGAAGTACTGTACCCGTGCAAGTTTCTTCAAGATGTATTATTTCACCAACGAGCATAACAAGCGCTAAAAATTACTACTTTACCCTTTTTACTGGAAACGAGGCATTCCATCTTAGTCGTGAGGACTGACGGGTGACAACGCATCTGCATTTTGATTTGTAATCGAGGATAGATGTAGATGTCTATGGACCGCAGCAAACCACTTACCATCAGGTGGACTGTGTGCTCGTTTGTCACCCTGTACTATAAAAAACTTACTTTATCCTTTTCTTTCAACTTTTCGCGTTTTTCTTTTTCTTTCTTCTCTTTTTCTCTTTCCTTCTCTCTTTCTTTTTCCTTTTTCTTTTCCTTTTCATTCAATTCTTTATGTTTGGTCGAGTCTTCTTGAACCTTTTCCTTATCACGCGACTTTTCTCGTTTCTCCTTACTTTTGGAAGGGAATTTGAATGACTTCGTCTTCTTTGTTTTAGACGGACTTCTAGAAGCGAATAAATTACTTATAAATAAATATAAAAAATATTCATAAATAGGCCAAACATTTGGCCACAAATGAATCTGATGAAAAGTAGCATTGAGGTGTAAGATGCAAAACACACAAGGAAAAGCCTAGGTGGAAACCTAGCCATAGGTGCAATGACAAGAGTTATATCGATAGGTTAAGTTGCATAGATAATATAATAAACGTAAGAGATAACATAAAATATGTTAGGTTATTCAATAAATTAAAAATCTTAAATTATTTTATTGTATTTATTTTATTACATGCTGAAAACTCACTTGGTATCAGTGTCCTCTTCAGGAGAACTTTCTCCCTCTAATGCTGCATATCCCCTGTCTTTCTTTGATTCCTTTTTATCTTTACGTCTCCCCCAACAAATCCTTTTTACTTGGTTTTTCATGGTCAGCACCATCACTAACTAAAAATCGGGCAGTATGTGTTACCGTTATAGCCTATTAAAGTTCACTGCTGAACATAGGCCTCCCCCATGGATTGCCTCGTAAGGGGGATATTTGTCATAGTTGGCACGCTTGGCAAGCGGGTTGGCAACCGCAGCTTTTTTATTTTTAGTCGTTATTAAGAAGAAGCTGCAGTCCATTTCATGATTTGTTTCCCCCTATGGCCTCTTACGACACACCCACAGGATGATATGAGATAGTTGAAATTCTTACACCGCCATGGATGTATGTGTTAGCCATAGCTTATACTTGAATTAAAATTTAATAGAATAATATGCAGGGTGGCAGCGGCATTCTCATTCTCCTATGGTTATCAAAAGACGTGTTTTTTAGTGGAAATTTAAAAATCTTGTTTACGTCTAACGTAAAAACTAAGACCGATGACAGGCAGCAGTGTAAGGTCTGAGACATCTGGTTCTGCTGTTACCTATCCATCTGTCAAGCGTGACTGATAAAGAAGAACGACTTAGCATCATTTTTACTAAATAATCAATTATTTCGCTGTATTTAGATTTATTTGACTACATACAGAGTGTTTAAGATATTAACATGACAACCGTCAACAACACTTTTGCACAAGAGTGTGAGACTGAGCAGGAGTTAAGACCCGGAGAAATGAAGGTTGACTAATCGCTTTTTGAATACGGGTCGCCGTGTAATTTTGGAAAAGGTAACGTGCACACTGCAATTTACGATCTACAATAAAAATTTTAAACTGTTTATGATTGTTTACTTATCAAGCAAACAATTCAATTTTATTTAAAAAAAAAATAAAAATAAAAAAGTTATCAAAATAGAATACGAGAAATACTCAGTACTTTGAAAAATATTTAAACAACTTTCCATGAAAAGCTTTAATTCGTATTTAAGTAAAATTGAAAAAAGTTTGCAGGACATCAAAATATTCTCTATAGTAAATAGTAAAAAAAACCCTGGTATTCACAACATATATATCTTACGACGTAAATGTAACTGCAAATCCTTAGGATATAATATGTGAACAACTGTTTTATATTTTAAATAATTTAAATATTTTACTTCAGTTTACGAGAGCTGACGACGTACGACACAGGTCTATTACTTTGCTTGTCAAAAATTGACATTATAATATAAGATAAATCATTTTCAAAAAACACAATGGTACAATATCTAAAAAAAACTTGCTAATAACTAAAAGTCCTGAACCTTACGGTATCTCACCTTTTAAAAACGATTTCAAAAAAAGGAGGTGCACAATTCGACTGTTTTTTTTTATGTGTTACCTCAGAACATTTTCTAGTCTAGGTGAACCGATTTTGATGATTTGTTATATAAATCTGTTCTATTTGTACAACCACAATTTTCGTGAATGTTTAGTACCTAGTCTGCGAATATAGCCGTATCAAAAAGCGGTTCTAAAACTTACGTGACTAATCTCCCTATATACATAGGACCTTTGTAAGTCTAACTTCAAGGGAGACACCAAAAAATTCGAGTTGGAGTTTTCGACTTATAAAGGGTTTTTTTTATAGAATAAGGGTGACCAACGAGCACACAGTTCAGCTGACGGTAAGTGGATGCTGAGGCCCATAAACATCTACATTTATCCCCAATTAAAATTCAAAATTCAGATGCATTGTTACCCCTGAGAACTAGGATGCAATGGCTTGTTTCCAGTAAAACGGGTCTCCGGTTCTCTACACTCACCTAACAAAACAGAGCAGTGTTAAACTGCTATTTTACGTTGGTATTCTGTGAGGGCGTGGTCCTACCCCGATCAAGCCGACCCATTCATGCTACAACCATAATAACATAGCTGCAGCATGGTACTACAGGCTACCACATAACAAAGAACGGGTTTTGACTTAGGCAGATTTTGTAAAGAAATATTCGACTTGTAAAGGTTTAGATTTATTTGTAGATTCATTTAACAGTGGTTCACTAAGACTAATTTTTTGGTTCCATTTAGTTTATTTTTTTTTAGGACAAATATATTGCAGGACAAATTTAGACCATTTCCATTTTTTTTCATGATTTCTGATTCGTTTTTAATAGAATCGGTCATTTCAAAAACCACTTAAGTCACATTTTTTCCAACATGCTTTTTTTCCTTCCTCTTTTAATAATAGCGCGTGAAAGACGTTCATTGCATAAACATTAGTCAGTGACTTAAGAGGTTTTTGCATGCACCACTAGATGGCAGGGGTAGTTTATGACTAGTTAAATGACTTAAATGCTTTGTTTTAATTGGTTCAACAATATTTCAATCTTTGTAAACCATATCCATTAATGTCATTTGAACTTCATTTGTCTTTTACTCAACTATTTTGCGCGAAAAGTAAGTTTTAGCTTAAAAAAAATGTCTTCAAGCGAAACTGAGAGTGATGGTGAGCCGAAAAGGAAGAGAACATGTAATCCCGCAAAATATAAAACGTATGTTATAAAAATTCTAAAGTTAAAGGACAGGCATATACTAATCATTAAGGAAAACAAATAGCTCCAAAATGTACTGGTGAAAATTGCAGGCAAGTTTACCATAAACCTTTATTCAGTTTACGTTTTTTATCGGGGCCTATATAAACCTAATATATCGCTTATTTATTGCAGATGTAAGAAGGAATGTTTTGCGAACTTCAACCAAGATGACATGGACTTTTGCATTTAAAAACTTAACTTTTTAACAAAAAATGAGCAGGGTATATTTCTTCAAACACTTATTGATAAGTTAGATATAAAACAGAGGCATCCTCGAAAAGAAAATGCTACACAGAGGCAAAGAGCTTTTCAATTCTATGTTTTAAATCAAACTGATAAAGTTTAAAGTCTGCAAGAAAGCATTTATCAGCCTATATAGAGTTAGTGAAGCTAGAGTTCGCTGACTTTGTGATTTGCTTAATGAAGGGAAGAGTCCTATAGATAAGAGAGGATGTCACCCAAAAGCAAATACAGTGCCTCCTGAAATATGCCAAAAAATACACTCCCAAGAGAATACATTGATTTGGTTTTGAACTCCAGCTCAACATTTACAGTCATAGAGCTAAAAACTGAAGATTTTTTGGAATTTAAGAAATGGTGGCCAAATTGGTACAAAAAAACATGTTTGTCAAATGAATCTTATGGAAAAAAGTCCCAAAGGACCAGAAAAAGTCATTTGCACCTTCGACATACATGAGTTTTCAGTATGATTCAGATCGAAAAGGAACTATCACAGCCGAGGAATATATTGATGGATTGATTAAACATTCATTCTCATTAATAAAGAAAATAACAACTTCTGTTTCACTTCCATCAACCAAAGCCTATGATTTGAAAGTGCCCATCAATTTAAAAAAAAATAGACGATTTAAAACAAGTTTAAAATAGCATTCTGGAAGAGCATATGCCATTTTATAACAACATTTTTAGCGGGTCAACTAAAAATGTTGGAGATAATCCAGATGAGAATGATGGAGAATATGACTATGTATCAAATATATTGAAACATGACAAATTAATACATGTAAAATGTTAATAAGATTATTTTTAAGTGTAATTCTTAATTACAAGCAATAAAAAATATGATTACTACGATTGTTTTGGTTAAATTATATACAACTATATTTCTCGCTAAAACAACATAAGTCAAGAACTGTTTTTCAGGTTTTTTTCATTATTTCTATTAATAGACTGTAAAGGTTATACGCTTTTTTAATTTCTTACCACTCAAATACTAAATTAAACAATAAAAAATTCCTTTGAAACTCATTTGTTTGTGTATGAAACAGTTTTTATTGATTTCTGAAAAATTATAATTTTGTAACTTAGGAGATTTTTGAAATGACCGATTCAATTATTATTGAGAGAGTATGCTTTGAATAGAACTATTTATACTGATTTATTCGCTTTTAATTAACTTTTTTTGGTGTCTAAACAAAACAAGCTTACAGTATCTTGACTTGCAGTGGGCATATGATTATATGGTTTGGATTTAATTTTGTTAATTATAGGATCCCAAGCAGATGGCAGGACCCAACCATCTTCTCTATTGAAATTAGAATGATTTTTAATTTCAATAGCCTCTCTTATCATGCTTGGTAAGAATCAGTATACTTTTGTGAGGATTTTTCGTTTATCAAATCTGATGTAAAGGTGGAGACGATCTCGAACATGTTCAAAGACTGCAGACTTACCGGAGCATCGGTGCTTCACATCAGCTATATATTCTTTCACATGGGTTTTTATAGATCTTTTTGTTTGTCCTAAATAAGAGAGACCACATTCACAATATAGCTTGTACACTCATGCATCTTGTAGAGGAATAACACACTTGATGGATGGTAAATTTTACTTATCTTCTTCGGCAGCTTTTTTGTTTTAATGGAAGCTCGCTTCAAGATGTAGCCAACCTTTGAAGCAAGCTTAAAAATTAAATCCAAACCCAAGCATACTACTGCAAGATTTTAAGATATTGTAAGTTTATGCTGTAAAATATGCTGTAATCCTTAGAATTTAATAGTCTTAAATGCTATTTTATAGTGCCACACATTACAGGATGGAATGTGGATGTAATAGTTCTTATAACTACACAAATATTCAACAATGCTTTTAATAATATTCAACAAGACTAAAGGCCAATTTCTCAATCACCTATTATATATATTTTTTATACTATAGTAAAATATTTATAATAAATATTATATGTATATAAATGTATTAGTTAACTATAATATATGTCATATGTCAAAGTGTGTAAGTACATAAAATATTAATATTAAATAAATAAATATAAAAGTGAAACATTTGCAGTACATTAATTCATACTGCTGGAATTTTCATTCATGGATTCTACGAGGGCGGCACTGAAAATTTCGGGAATCAAGGAAGTGACACAACATTACTATTTAAAAATGTATTTATTGCTTTTCGAAGTATTCTCCGCGAAATTTGACATTTTTCCATACGATGGAACCAATCATTGAAGCAACCATTCCATTTGGAAGTTGGGGTCTCCAAAATGGCCGTTTTGTAGGCGTCCACAGCTTCTTCAGGTGATGAAGATCTCTGTCCACGCAATTTATTCTTTATTTTAGGGTAAGTATAGAAATCATTAGGGCTTAGGTCGGGGCTGTACGGCGGATGGTCTAATAATTCTATGTTTTCTTGCTCTAAAAACTCTTTTGTTCTGTGTGCGGTGTGAGAACTCGCATTGTCGTGATTGAGGATGAAGCAGCGGTTGCAGTTCTCTTTACGGAGTTCAGAAACGACCTGTGGAAAACAAATGCTAGCATACCATTCTGCATTAACCGTTCTTTGTCGCTCAAGAGGAATAGTCGTAACATGGCCGGTTTTGGAGACAAACGTGGCCACCATTTTTTTTGCAACACTCCGTGAACGAACAATTTTTGTTGGCTTTAACTCATTTTCGAACACCCAAACTCGTGACTGGTTCTTTGTTTCGGGTTCGTACGCGTATATCCTGGATTCGTCACCTGATACGATGTTGTATACAGCATTTGAGGATCCTGCGTGGAATCTTTCGAGAGTTCTGTCGCACCAAGTAACGCGAGCCGCTTTTTTTTTTTTTCACAGGGCGAATGCGGTATCCATCGGGAAAACAACTTTTTTACACCTAATTGTTCAAGATTATTTGTATTTGACTCATGCCAATGTCTAAAGTTGCCGGAATTTCGCGGTATGTCACATGTCGATCTTCCTCAATCAGCTTACGCACAGCATCAACGTTTTCTTGGGTGACTGCAGTCCTTGACGGGGATCATCACTGAGCTTGACAAGTCCACGTTGAAATTCAGCAAACCAGCAATAAATTGTGGTTTTGGATGGGGCTTCATCACCAAATGCAGAAATCATCCGGTCAACACTGTTTTATGTTAAACCACTTCGAAAGTCATAAATCAATCATCGCTCTTGAATTTTCTCGAGTCAATTCCATTTTCTCTATGACTAAACAAGTTTGACAAAACCTTGTGACAAGACCGAGAATCTTTTTTTTAAATAAATAAATGGTATTCGATTTTTAAAACCAAGGATTTTTCAATTAAAAAGATTTTAATATGACAGGAACAGTGGAAATATTCCATTCCCGATACTTTTAGTGCAGCCTAGTATCATGGATTTAATCATGGATTCTATTATATGAATAAATTTTAACTGGGGATTGAAAAATTGGCCCTTAAGCTCAATCTACATTGCAGTGGAAGCTCTATTTTCAACTTGTTCTATGAGATGGCATGAGAATTTTCCAGTATAGCACATTAAGACTATAGAGAATATCCAGTTATTGAATCTAGAACTTTTATTTGACAAGAATAGTTGATTGGACATCATTTTCATATTGCATATTTGTGTATAAGAAGAAATGATGAGTAAACAATGATTTATGGAAGAAACAAAAATGTCACCTTTTGCTCCACTTCCTGCGGATTCCACAGACTGCACCAATATTAGCTAGAGGAATGCTCAAAAATTCGCGAGAATTCTCAGAAAGCAGCTTGAATTTTTTTGGATCATATCTAGTTTGTTGTTACACAATTAACTTAAAACTCATTATACTATGTAAAATTTCGTTACAAAAATTAGCTTCTACTTTGTTCTGCGGCAATGTGAATTGAGCCTAAGTTAATTATCCTATCTTTGTGACACATTTTGAGCAAAGATGATAATCTTTCTAATCGGAGCGAAGCTCCAATGGCACAAGAAAACGATTCTTTGAAATCTATCACCTCCGTAACATATAGGCCAATTTACATAATTTTTTCGGTAATATTTGTAGCTCAACACAGACAAGGTTTGTAAACAATAAAAGTCTGAATTTGAATTTTTTTCTTTTAATATCTAATCAATTTGCTAATTATTAATTGATTAGATGAGCTGATTAATTTACATCTGCACAATGTCATGCCATTTAATTGAATCTTTTGTTGAAATAAAGATAGATATGACTTTAGACTTTTACTCCGCTCCCTTAACCTTTTGAGCGCCACGCCAAAAACGCATTACCTGTCCTGTACGCCAAAGCGAAAAGTAAACAAAAATACCTACGAAAAAAATAGTGTTGCCAAGAGTTGATATATTGATAACACAAAATAACTTGTGTATCAATTTCGAAATCGATCTGACCAAAATATATAGAGATCAACTCAAAATATTTCATGTGTCAGGAGAGGCGTAGCCAAGTAAAGCACAGAAGAAAAGTCTTACGCTCTTATGACAATGGGGTTTGATATGATGCTGATGCTACCAGATGATTTTGAGATTGAGAAAGAAAATCGCACAATACAACATGAAAAATTGCGCTTCATACCTTAAGAAAAAAATAAAGATTTATTATTTGTAATTTTATATTATTAAAATAAAAAAATTCATCATCATCGACGCTTTCCAAAATGCGAATGAGTTCTGAGGAATTGATCATGTTGCACTGCACTACTTTTTCCGCTATTAGACCACGGCGCCTAATGAACTGATAATCTATGACACGCTAAGGATGTACCAGAGTTAAGATATTAGATTTATTATGCGAAGTTGATTTGATGAAATTTTCTTTTATTTATATAGCTGATGATAGTTTTATGTTTCTTACCTTTTGTTTTATTCAAATATAAATAATAAATAACATGTTTGCGTTTAATTTTGAATAGTTTTCAATAAATCTATGCCTAACGCATTACAACACTAGCGGTCAAACATAGACGACTTTGGCGTGCTGGACATAGTATTTGCTTAGATAAAAATCCATTTTTTTTAAGTTCAATGTTTCTTAGTACTTGTGGCTCTAGGAGACTTGTTTTTTACATATACTCACATGTTGCTGGGTTATTCTCTTTTGAAGAGAGTAGAATTAAAATACCGTTAATAATTTTGCAATATCTATATTTCATATTTTTGTGGGCTGGGTTTTTTGTCAAGTATAGACGTCGTTGGCGCTCATGGCTCGCAGGTGCTGGTCAAGTATGGGCGACTTTGGCGCTCAAAAGGTTAATCATGCTAGCAAAAGGTTACCTTTGCATCTGCCTCGGCCCTAGTTATTATATCATTGAATAATGCATAGAAAATAGGATCGATCTAACAATCGTCATCGTTATTCCTCGTAACTAATAAATAATTCTAAAACTTAAATGTCTTACGAACTGCATTTCCACTAAAGATCTATCTTTCAAAGTTCGGGCTTTCGAACTCATCATAGATATTGAAAATTTCTGACTATTCTTATTATTTTTTAACTAAAATAAATCTCAAATGTATTACTTACAATCACTTTCATTACTTTTGCGTCCGCTTTCAGAGGCGTACAATCCCGGAAAATCTTTTTCCACATCAGGGCTTTCAAAATCCATTTTCAAATATTTTGCTTAGTTGAACTACTTAATAATAGCTTTATAATTAAATAAAGCCATACATGATTTACCTGATACCGAGTTCCTAATAATAAAAGATTTCTTATTTTTTATATTACATAAATAAATATTCAACTAATGAAGTGTCAGACTGATATGGACTGACATATCAGTTTAGTTTTTTTATTAACTGGCTTTACGGCTCCGGGTTCTAGCCCTTCTGAGCCTAAACCATGTCAGTTCACAGCTTCATAGTAGAGATGGATGGTAACTATTCAAGTAGCTAACTAAATAGGGGCTATTTACAAAATAGCCACGGCTATGATATTCGTCAACACGATAACTAGCTATTGGCTACTTTGGTTAGAGGCACTTCGATTATCAGACAAGTTACGGCGCAGCGGGTGGCTGGTAGCTACTATAGTGGATGCTACGTTATGCAGCTGCCAGCTACGCGCAGTTGCCGGCAGCTACTACGTGACTAACTGACTAAGTACTGTATAACGAATAGCCAACAGTTTGAGTTTTCGTTCTTTTGTAATAACTTTGTTCGCGTAGTTCATCCCTTTACTCCTCGTTCTTAAAAACACCTGCAGCTTGGAATGAGATGAAGACATAAAGCGCTTATTACACTATACAATTTTTAGGAAATCTAATTAGGAAATAGGAAGGTGTAATCGTAGTTAGAACAGTTAGGATCCGATTTAGTCAAATTGGAGGTCCCAATCGCTCTACTTCCTAAATTGTTTACAATTTAGGACAGTGTAATCGCAACGTTACGATTCAGAACAACCAGTCGGCGCCCGCGCTTTGATACAAGCGGATGTCTTAAAGTTTTGATAGAAGTTTTGGTAGAAGTCTGATATCAGAGAGCAGTACTTTAAATCTTAATATTAATTTCCGGTGGCTATAAAACGTAATATCACCATCAAACATTCTTTGGTACTCACACTTTATCGAAATATCGTGACTTCTTTTTCAATATGTTTGGATACCAAACTTAACAAATATTCAAACTATTTATAGGTGGTAGAGCCATGCTTCAGTTATATTAGTAGTATAGTTGTAGCACGAATGGGTCGGCTCGACCGAGAAAGCACCACGCTCCCACAGAATACCAGCGTAAAATAGTAGTTTAATGTTGCTGTGTTTCGTATGGCGAGTGAGAGAGAGAGAACCGGAGACCCTTTTTACTGGAAACAAGGCATTCCATCTTAGTCGTCACAGGTGACAACGCATCTGCATTTTGATTTGTAATCGGAGATAGATGTAGATGTCCATGGGCTGCAGCAACCACTTATCATCAGGTGGACTGTGTGATTGTTTGTCACCCTATCCTATAAAAAACTGCTTAGAATCTAAAAATATATAATTATATTCATATTGGACAGTTTTTTATCAATGACAAGTATTCTTTTCTCTTTTTTTAATATCCATTGTTCCCACCATGGCTAAGGCAAGTCCTATTTTCTGCTGTTTTGATAAATACGGCGCCATCGATCAAACGTGCAACCCCGTCGATACTTCTTCACGAATGCGGTTCGTCACGATTTAGAATTCAATTTAGTGTAGTGTGATCACTAGCTTCCAATTTAGGTTCCTAATTAGATTTCCTAAAAATTGTATAGTGTAATAAGCGCTTAAAGAATATACGAAGTGAAATTACGCCACATGTGGAATATAACCTTTTGAGCGCCACGCCAAAAACGCATTGCCCTGTCCTGTACGCCAAAAGTGAAATAAACTTTATAATCAGGTATGTTTTATTTAATATTGTGCTGTCTTCCACTCTTTTTATAGATGTACTTTGTACATAAATAAAAAACAAACAATAACAATAAAATAGTAGTAAACCACAGCACTACTCTCCATCGTGATGACGTCACAGTCACGACTGGACGACTTGACTGACTGACTCAGACTGACTTTACTGACCTTCCTTTTTGAAACTTTCTTAGAGATGTAGCCGTGTCGCACGTTGTGTATCGATTTCGAAATCGATCTAATCAAAATATACAAACTCAAATTCAAAATATTTTATTTGTCGGGGGAGGCGTAGGACAAGTTAAGCACAGAAGAAAAGTCTTACGCTCTTATGACAATGGGGGTTTGATATGATGCTGATGCTACCAGATGATTTTGAGATTGAGAAAGAAAATCACACAACACAAAATGAAAAATTGCACTTCATACCTTAACTAAAATATAATGACTGAATTTTGGATAATTTTCAAGAAATCTTTATCTCCCGCGTTCGACACTAGCAATCAATCATAGACGACTTTGGCGTGCTGGACATAGTATTTGCTTAGATAAAAATACATATGTTTCTGTTCAATATTTCTCAGTACTTGTGGCTCTAGGAGACTTGTTTTTTATACTCACATGTTGGTGGGTTATTCTTTTTGTAGAATTAAAATACCGGTAATAATTTTCCCATATCTATATTTCATATTTTTGTAGGCCGGGTTTTTTGTCAACTATAGACGTCGTTGGCCCTGAGCGCCAACGACGTCTTTATATATAGTAGTATATAGTAGGTCAAGTATAGGCGACTTTGGCGCTCAAAAGGTTAACGCGCAATCTTTTAGCTCACAATACCAGACACTCGGCAATTAAGCTACTTTTTGGTAAGAAGTAACTTTTGGGTAAAATTTCAGTCAGCTAAAATATAAATGCCAACTTCGAAAAAAATTCAAGATTAAAGTAAAGGAATTTAAAATAAATTTTTAGTGATTTGTTGAACTTTAACATAAAAAATTAAAATATTTAATACGTGGTGGAGCCGTGCTACAATTATATTAGTAGTATAGTTGTACCATGAATGGGTAGGCTCGACCGGGGAAGGACCACGCTCTCACAGAATACCAGCGTAAAATAGTAGCTTAATGCTGTGTTTCGTATGTTGAGTGTAGAGAACCGACAACCCTTTTTACTGGAAACGAGGCATTCCATCTTGGTCCCCATGGGTGACAACGCATCTGCATTTAGGGCCACAGCAACCACTTACCATCAGGTGTACTGTGTGCTCGTTAGTCACCCTATCTTTAAAAAAAAGGTCCCGTATGAGATACGCAAGATAGTTCGGCTCAAGGTCGAGGCGGTACAGAGAGATTGAAAAGAGAATAAAAAAGATTTTCATATTTATTTATTATATTTATTTGACTAAGTGCTATTATTGATTTTTAAAATGAATGAATTTTGTATGTATTCTCCTAACTGCACGTTTTCCTTCCAATTTTTGATTTTTAAGTATAAATGTTATTCTTGTGTCAATATATTTCTTCATTGCACACTTCGTTAAATCAATAATATGATTGGTTTCTACGGCGTAAAATTGATGATGTCTCCGGGAATACTTGTCCTTCTGTAAAGCTGCTAAGATGCTTTTATAGCTGCTTTTAGGGGTCAACAGTTCGGCGGTGATTTTTTTCTTTAGAGACACTATTAATAAAATCTTTCTTGATTACGGACTCGCAACGCCGACATATTTTAACGACCATTTGTGAGGGATAAATTAACCCTTCATTATCTTTGTAGAATATGAGACTCTTTTTATTTTCTTCTAATGACAAAGCCTTTATACAGGTATTGCATCAGATTTTTTTTTATTAATGCACTACTAACGAAGCCAGCAACATATTCTATTACATGTTCCGAAAACTGTGAGAGCTCGATAGAGTCGAGGGCTTTCTCAATATCTTCTTGACTTTCAGACACTCCGAAATTATTGCCATTATTTTCTGCCTGATTTGGCGTAGTCATATTTATTTAAGCTATCACAGATGAGCAGTTTAGGATAGATATTTTTCTAATGGTATACAATTACCCGTTGATGTTTCCATTAATTCTGTGTGGACCAAATTTTTTTTATATATCGCCTCGAACAAACGTGGAGTCGGGTTATCATTCGAACCACCGTGTGATCTTATTCCGGCAAAAAGAAGCTCAATATGGTCCTGTGATATTTTGTGCAAGGGTAAAAATGTAATAGGACTCTTTGCGTTGCATATCAAATCCTGAAACATTTCTTTTGTGCTATCTATTATCATCATATATCAAATATCATATAATCAAGTAAAACGCGGAGAATCAATAAATTTAACCGTTTTGACCATAATATTTATACATATAATTGTAAGTGCTAAAGGAACGGTAAAAAAGTTCAACACAAGTGGTAAAGTAAAAAATATTTTACAACCAACTTCAATATAAATAAAATGAGAATTTCATCAATGTATTCGAAGTCAATTAAATAAGCATTATTAAGGTGAAATCTTAATCAAATTTATATGTGACCAAATAAGAAGCATCAATTTTCAAATAAAAAGAATCATCTAAATCAGTTAACCTAGAAAAATGTTCTGAGGTAACACACATTAAAAAAATCTATTGACACTGCTGACTATCACTGGAACTTCCCTCTATGTTCGTTCTCAAAACAACTTACGAACGGATCAACCGATTTTGATGTAATTGGTGGTAATCGAAGAGTTATTTTAAGAATAATAATAAAATTAATTATAAAAAATGATGAGACTACAAATTGAAAAATTATGTGAAAAAAACACATTTTTCGAAAATTTTCGCCATCGATTTTTCTTCAACACATTAATCGATTTTGAAGCGTATACCATGTATAAAAGCTGATTAGATTTCGGAATCCTGGAATCAAGCCACTTTACGTTTCAAATTTGGTGGTATTGGTGGAAGAAATATTTCTAGCATCGCATTGTTTGCTTTCCTTGCTTCCGTGCATATTGTCAAGAATTTATGTAACACAATTTAATAAATAATAAAGTAGACCTGTGCTCTGCTGCGGAGGCAAGGCAAACATGGCTAACGCTCTGTCCCGGCGAAAATGTCCCACTGGAAGTTAACCAACAAAAACAGTGGGATATTCCGTTGGTACGGAGTGTCCAGAAATAATTATTTCAAAATTTCCATAGTCAACAAGATCAGGCTCGCCTTCTAGCTGTTT